AGGTGACAATGACTGTCTTTGTGACTTTTTTCAGGAATTTGCACATTATTTGCAAGAATTCAGGAAGAAAACAAGTTTCAAAATTCATTTGTAAATTTGTCATAAATACAAAAGTGACAGGACATATGACAGTAATTAATGGGGTACAAGGCTAAGCTAACTGGTTGTCAGAAGAACTTGGATTCCATCAAAATACCACAACTTGGGTTTTAACTAGATTGTCATAACATAGGGGCTTGTAACACAAATAACTGGCATCAAAGTAGATATTGTCACTGATGGGGTCTCAGCACTACCAAGACATTGTCAAGGTTTTAGATTTGACAATAATTACAAAAGGGTGGAAATAACTTTAAAATTGATAGTGTACTCCGGTTCAGTAGCACATGTAAAGTCACTTGCCCTGATATATTCCACTATACATCGACCGTTTTCTTGCTGAAATGGGCTTAAACACATTGTGCCCATGTGGGGAAGTGAACTGGTCTTCGGGCAGTGTGATATACAAATGCTTTAACCACTAGGCTACCCACTGGACTCGCGTCGAGCAATGGGTTATTTACACCCCTGTACAATGTCTGGACATAGACTGAAGAAGGGATTTAGATCTAGGAGCAGAGTCTACATTAAATATGTATCGGAGGAACAGCTGCATCAAGCTTCTCAAGTTGGCCATTAATACATTCTTCAAAACCCCTTTGATAAGGCAGCAGGTCAAGGTTAATTGTACAAGCAACTTGACTGGTTTGGTTAGATAATTCTTTGATACCACTCTCAGAAATATTCCAGGTATATGACAACAGTTGAGTAAATAATCCAGCCTGGGCAATCAAGTGATTGACATCATGAGCATAAATCTGCTCAATCAGGATACAACAACATGCATCAGTCAGTGAGTCTGACCAGCCTAACAATTTACTTCCTTCTTAACAAGCAATGGCTCCTTAAGACCAATTCTTACACGGGCTTAAATTTATTGAAACCATTCAGCCATAAATATGATAAATCAGACATGTTTTTTAAAGCAAATATATCAACATTTAGCAAAGGTCAACATACTTGATCCAATATCATTCTTCCACATTTTTCAGTTTGAGAACAGTAACATCTAATCAGCCTCTTGTGTGTCAAGAGAATGCCTGACAATCTTCAGTGGCAAAAGCTAACCACTGTCACATGATTCTTGGGAATAAGTGTGTTGTAAGCCATGAATCGCTTTGAAATTATTTGCTCATACAGAGTCTGCAACAGCTTGTGGTCTTTGTCAGAGATGCCAACCCTATTTTGGGCCTAAGGTCTACTAGAGGTCAAAAGTGTAATTTGGACCTAAAAATGGTGGTCTGCCGGCAACATGGTACACCACACAAAGGAAGATTCTAGACAGAAACACATGTGACCAATCATTATGTATCTCCATACATATTGTTGGTCATGTGACTCAACATACTTTAATTCCTTCTGCAACAGACCTTATGATACTAAAATCTACTGATTACTAGTCCAAAAGTCAATTTATGTTAAGTGTAATGCGTAATTTAATGGTCAAAATCGTAAACTTAGCATCTGATGGAAAAATGGTGGGGCAAGCAATCAAGTATGCAAATTTCATCCAAGGTCTGATGGCTACTAAAATCTACTGAACTATGTCCAAAAGTCAGATGTACACTTGATGGAAAACCCATTTCACTATTGATGGCACTTTGTTGATCCAGTCCCAAGTTGATCCAGTCAAGAATTATGTGTTCCTTTGTCGAACATCAGCAGCCATTTTGATTCAAGAATTAACCAGTAAATATCATTATTCAAAGCTCCTGAAAGTTACCTGGCAAAATGCTGAACACTGCTTACTAGTGATTTAAAGCACACCAATATCCCAGGGGCAAGACTCTTCCCTATAAAGTTGTATCATCTGTGGATGCCACTTGTGGAAGGTAAATAGAGATTATTAACCGAGTGTGTTTCCCTATCATTATTATCATATATTAGGAATAAAAACTGTATTATGCGAGCCTTTTTCTGTCTAAAAAGAACAAAAAAATCGGGCAGGGTTTTCCTGGCAGTGTTTCTATTTTCATTGCGGGTAATTACCTCATCAATATCATTTTCATATACCTGATGGAATCGATTCATTGTCTGTAATTGTGATCGATAGATCGAAATCCTTGGTTGGTACCTTTCTTAGATGATGGCCTTTCACTCGTGCCCCATAATCCGTACCTACAATTTGAACGAAGTTCTCCGTTTCATGATTTCCAAAGTCAATTACTGCAGTAACGACTCCAAAGCATCTGTCATCAATTCTTACAGAATCACCAATTTTGAGAATGGGGGCAGCCATGTTTGTTTACAAACTAGTCCACACAATGTAAACTTGCGACGTCATCAATGAAATGTTAATGTTTTAGCATTCGCATGGCGTGTATGGAGTTTTGTGAAGTAGTTCGTGGATTGACGTAATTTGCATAGCTATCCGATTTGGATACCAAGTTTATCAGATTGCTTTATTGCACCAATAACACCCTCCATTAGATGATAAATGTTCTTCTGACACAATCATTTCTCTGGAACTATCTGCCCTTTTACCATCAAGGAGCCCTTCTCATTTGGCAGCTGTTAGTGAAAAGGGTAGAACAGTCCTGTTGCAAAATTACCACTGATGGAATATCTAGTCTTCACATGTATGCTGATCCATAAGCACTCACAGGATAAGTCCAATAGTTACATTTTTTTCATCACATTCATGATACCACTGAGGATATATAAATCTTATAAAATATACTAAATGCTGAATGAAGAGCTACCTATACACAAAGCATGAATTATCTGCAGTTGTTGGAAATCAAGGCCTTCTCCAGGACCAACAGTCTCATGTATAGTTGGGGACAGCTCTTGGACCAACAGTCTAAAGTTTAGTTGGGGACAGCTCTTGGACCAACAGTCTAAAGTATAGTTGGGGACAGCTCTTGGACCAACAGTCTAAAGTTTAGTTGGGAACAGCTCTTGGATCAACAGTCTAAAGTTTAGTTGGGGACAGCTCTTGGATCAACAGTCTAAAGTATAGTTGGGGACAGCTCTTGGACCAACAGTCTAAAGTTTAGTTGGGAACAGCTCTTGGATCAACAGTCTAAAGTTTAGTTGGGGACAGCTCTTGGACCAACAGTCTCATGTATAGTTGGGGACAGCTCTTGGACCAACAGTCTAAAGTTTAGTTGGGAACAGCTCTTGGATCAACAGTCTCATGTATAGTTGGGAACAGCTCTTGGACCAACAGTCTCAAGTTTAGTTGGGAACAGCTCTTGGACCAACAGTCTCATGTATAGTTGGGAACAGCTCTTGGACCAACAGTCTAAAGTTTAGTTGGGAACAGCTCTTGGATCAACAGTCTCATGTATAGTTGGGAACAGCTCTTGGACAAACAGTCTAAAGTTTAGTTGGGAACAGCTCTTGGATCAACAGTCTCATGTATAGTTGGGAACAGCTCTTGGACAAACAGTCTAAAGTTTAGTTGGGAACAGCTCTTGGACAAACAGTCTAAAGTATAGTTGGGAACAGCTCTTGGATCAACAGTCTAAAGTATAGTTGGGAACAGCTCTTGGACAAACAGTCTAAAGTTTAGTTGGGAACAGCTCTTGGATCAACAGTCTCATGTATAGTTGGGAACAGCTCTTGGACAAACAGTCTAAAGTTTAGTTGGGAACAGCTCTTGGATCAACAGTCTAAAGTATAGTTGGGAACAGCTCTTGGACAAACAGTCTAAAGTATTGTAGGGAACAGCTCTTTGATCAACAGTCTCATGTATAGTTAGGAACAGCTCTGGGACAAACAGTCTAAAGTATAGTTGGGAACAGCTCTTGGACAAACAGTCTAAAGTATAGTTGGGAACAGCTCTTGGACAAACAGTCTAAAGTATAGTTGGGAACAGCTCTTGGACAAACAGTCTAAAGTATTGTAGGGAACAGCTCTTTGATCAACAGTCTAAAGTATAGTTGGGAACAGCTCTTGGACAAACAGTCTCAAGTATAGTTGGGAACAGCTCTTGGACAAACAGTCTAAAGTATTGTAGGGAACAGCTCTTTGATCAACAGTCTCATGTATAGTTGGGAACAGCTCTTTGATCAACAGTCTCAAGTATAGTTGGGAACAGCTCTTTGATCAACAGTCTCATGCATAGTTGGGAACAGCTCTTTGATCAACAGTCTCATGTATAGTTGGGAACAGTGTTTTGGTCAAGGTCCTCATACAGCTGTCAAACATGACTGAATGATGAACACAACGAGATTTATACATGGTAGGTGAAGGAATAACAGTAAGAGCAAGTATCATACAGGACTATGATTAACATTACTTTGTTTTAACAACATATAATAACATGCGACCCAGAGATCACATGATGAGGAAGTCAATTAAACCAGTTGACTTCCTCTATGAGAAAAGTATAAAAATCTATACTGAAATGTCACTATAAAGTATAATGCAGAAGTTGCTATCCGTAAACGTTTGTCTACTTTCTAAATACAACTTGACCAGCTTGGCGTAAAATTGCATTCATCTATTTGAAGATGGACCCAAGTTTATTGGTCAAGTTCACAAACAATAACCTCATAACGGCCATCCAATGAAAACTGTTACAGTTAAGTGACATGAAATTCATAGCTGTGAAAAATGAAAACCATTCCAGATAAGGCCAAATAAACACAATGTTGTGGTTCCGATTACACCTCTTTAAAATTTAGGGTAGGTAGGTAGGAAGGAATATTTTTTACATTTTTTTAGAAGTAAAGTATGAACTAATAATACATTTATCAATGTGTAATTGTTTATTCAATCAAGCTTGCGGACATCATGTCGACTTTCTCTATCAGAATGACCAATGTCCACTGGTGCTGGGAAAAAACAATGGTATCTGAAAGCTTATTCTATTCATACCTCATAAAAAACTAGGGTCGGCACCAGAATTCAAGGGTCGGTCGGGTAATCGGAAACACAACATTTTTTTTTAGGCCCAATATGATAGTTTTCAATTATCTAAAGTATTCTTCTTGTTGCCCACCTACATTCAATGATTCATAGGGCACAACTAATCAACTAAATATTGTGCCCTGGACAAAGTTGGTAAAATAACATTCATCTATTTCCTCCATCAACAAATGATGAAATGACATATTCTTAAACAAAAATATGTGTTTTCCTTATTTCATATTGTAGCAAAATTATATTTATTTATTGATTAATATTCTTGGAAATTCAACCAGCTGCATTATGTAATCACAGTTTTCAAATGTAGATAATGACTGGAAGCACAACAAACGCACACTAAATATAGGACAGTGATAAAAGCTATGGTCCAACTCAAGGGTGAAAAGGTTTAGGGTCAGAGGCATAAACTACAGTTGCCAGAAACCAGAAAGACACATATTTTTTGTAGGCCTAGCCAGGAGTACAGACTAGAGGAAGATCCCGAAGAAGGTGGTGGTGAGGACTATAAAAAGAATGATGAGGCAGATGACAATGAGGGCGATCTTTCGATGCCTCCGTGCTTCGGGGTGGTTCACAGTTCTATGATCATAAGCCTGTGGAAGCAGAGAATACTGTCAGTTGTACATTATTGACTAACTATGCTAACGTCATTCCTATGCTCACAACTGCTAATTAATTCTTATCATCGTTTTCCAACCCCAGACCTTAACAAATTTGAAAATCTAAAATCTGTTTACAAGTGATTATAAAAATTTAAGAAAGGGCAAAATTATAAAGGTCACTCAGTGTGCAGGAGAAAATTATCACTTCAAGGAAAAAATTATGGGATGAACTATTTGGGTTCACACAGACAGAGGGCAGGGGACAGTAAGCATGGGATCCTCACATTTTGTACATGCAGGTAATGAGACAACAAAACATGGTAACTATGATAACCTCCCCTCCACTATACACCAACTGGGATGATATTGGAATTACTGTACACTGATAACTAATAACACTAGTCTTGAAACCTGGTCATGTAATTTTTGTTTTCTTCATGGGGCATTTATAGTGATTTATGGTGTCCCTGCCGCGATATTGCTGGAATATTGCTAAAAGCAGCGTAAAACTAAACTCACTCATTCATAAAGATTACCTACATAGATGTAGGCACCTACTGGGGCATGGTGTTTATTACAGCGAATACTGTAGGTGTGATGGAGCTGACAACCAGACTGTAATGTTGTACAAAAGACTGTTTGTAGTAATATTATTGGGAAAATGGCAGTACCTAGCTATGAAAGCCAAGAAGACATTTATAAGTCATTGTGATTTTGCCATAAAATGTCGGTGTCTAGGGATGTGACCAAATAGCAATAGCATTTAGTCATTTATATTTATCATGATTATCAGTTATGATGATTATCTATTGCTTAGATGAGTTAAGAAGTCTGACCCCTATGTGACTGTGAAACATTGAGTGACTTTTTGGCAGTTGTTTCCAACTGTTTTCTTATGCCATTGAAGGTAATTCATTTCTTTAAAAACATGAAAATTATCATAGGTCATCTGCAAAAGACATTTTCTTTTTATGAAAATACCGATTCTGTAAAACAGTCAATCATGAAACTAAAGCATTATTAAATTGATGATAGTAACCCTACCATAAAATCTAAAAAAACACCAGACTTCTTAATCATTTGATAAGCATTCCATAGAGCTGATAGATGACAAAGTAGACACAATTATACTGATAAAATGTATTTTAGACAATTTATGATACTGATAAAATATAATCATGATAAAAGTGACATTTTGGAAGATCCTTACACCATTGTCAAGCAAGAAGTTATTCTGCACTATACTGTCTACTTTATCTTATCTTGTTAATCAAGAAATGACAACTCCAATAATGTAGACTTGGAAATTCCTGCAGTCCTTAGTATACTTACAGAAGTAGCAGTTGAACTGAATAATAGTGTTTACTTTTCTCACAAAATTATGTTGTTCCACTTTCAATGGCTGAACTACAATAAGATCAACAGCAGGAAATGCCAAATAAGGTGTATTCAAATGAGTTCCATCATCTGAACCAATGAAAATTGCTCTAAGTGTTACCTTCTTGCAGCACCAAATTACCTTAGTGTTACTATATTGGACAGTTCCACTAATACTTGTCAACATATTGATGGGATTAAGGACAATAACATGCTGTTAATGTTTCAGTTTTGAATTTTCTAATTTCAAGCTTTCATTAATTTCCTAATTTACATATTTACTTACCAGAGGGGTAGTGTTATATCCAGCAGGCATCACTGTCTGTACAGTACCCTGGGAGGGGTTGTACACCACCCCGCTTGCTGTGGCGTTTGTGGGGTGGGCGTATGGGCCTGAGGGCTGGTACCCTGCTACAGCAGGCTGCTGTGGGACCTGGGCCATAGGTCGTGGACATCGTGCTATACCCTGCTGCTGCAGATCCATACTGTGCTTCAGGTGGACCTGCAAAACCTCCAAACTGTGCACCGTAGGTTTGAGTCTTTGCAGCGTACTGCTTGGCCCTACCTACATACTCAGGAGGGGGGGCACCTGGTCGCCTGGGGGGTATTCCTGTGATTGGAGGGGGTCCAGCTGGCTGGGAGGAGTATGCACCTGGTGGGGTGGCTGTGTCAGTGTTGTAGGTGAAGATGGAGCCTGTCTGTGAGAGAGGTGGTCCCAGATTGGACATCTGTCCTGAGGCATCATACTGAGGGTACGCCTGTGCCTCATCATACGAAGGAGGGGGGCCTTGATCTGGGAACACAATGTGTCACGTATTATAGATACCTAAACTGAAGTGACTCATACTTGCATTTCTGTAACACACAAAAAAGACAAAACTCTTTTTAAAACAGTTAACGATAAAATCACATAGAGGTAAAAATGATTAGATCATATGCAAAACTTTAGTACAATAGGTGGTCTCTATTTTTATCATATGGATTACATTTCGGTGCTGATACAGGACTGTAAAGTTCAGGTTATAGTTTGGAAACCTTCTGAAACTAGCACATTTCACTATGACATTTTTTCAGGGGGCAGCTTAGAGGTTAAAGCATTCCCTTATCACACCAAAGACCCAGGTTTGATTCTCCAGATACAATGTGTCAATGGTGTCCCCTGGTATAATATTTCTAAAAGTGGCATAAAACTATATTCACTCACTCACCATGACACAAACCTGGATCATATTCATGTTTACAAGAGATACTATTTACATCCTAGTTTACAGGTACATAGTAGTAATACTGGTATATCATACAGTGTGTGAGTGAGTATGGTTTTACACTGCTTTTAGTGAACTTTAACCACTAGGTTTTCCCACATATATCATACAGAAAAACATGTACAATATACTAATGTCTGTTCAGTAACACCGAAATTGTGAAATTTCTCAATTATCTGTATCTTAGGCAATGCAATTGAGAAATTGCAATTTGAATATATAATTTATAAAGCTGGCTGCAAGCTGAATGGGCCGATGACCTACATCTGTGCTGAACAAGGACAGAGCCTATAAAATATGAATAGGAACTCATGCTGATGATTGATTGATTGACTATCAAAGATAGGGCTGGCTTTAAACAAGTCAGTTGAAAGTAGTGCCATGGAAGAATTATTAACGATTTTCAATATGAAAACTGTTTCATCGACAAAATCTCTAAAACTATAGTGAAGAAACAATGTTGTAATCGATGCATAGATAACATTGTAATCAACACATACACAATACACAAAAGCTGTGTTTTTATTCAGGGGCTGCTTCTAAAGGTTATATCCCAAAACTTCCACATCCCAATACTACCACACATTGTTAAAACAACAACTCCTCATCACCCCATTTTAGGTAATAGGATGGTATCAACCTGTTTTGTCTAATTTTTAAAACAGGTAAACAGTAACAATTAGACGACCCAGGCAAAGTCAGGGTTGAGTGACTTTGCTTGTTAGATGAAGTAGGCATGTGGACCAGTCCATTTCAAACTTAACAGGGGTGTTACCACAAAATAAGAACAAAGACAACATAAATATATTTCATCGTACATTTTTATTATTTATTATTTTACTGTACTTATTTGCATATATATCTCACACATATATAACATTCACAAATATATAGAAATATATTTTATCATATATTTTTACTTATATTATAGTTAGTTGCACAAACATCTGCAACTTATCACCACACACACATATATACAAATCACATATATTTTTCATTATTCAAAAATATACATAAATATATTTTATCATATATTGACTTGTATTATAGTTGCACCTTATTCAGTGCACTGAACTGAAACAACAGAAATTATGTTCAGAAGGCTGTTTTGACAGTAATCCATACACAAATCTGTCACCTCCCAAGTGACATGAAATATGTTTTTTGTAATCCTTTCAGTTAACATGGTTAAGGCCATCATCACTATTCAAGGTCTTGTGTCATTCCTCAGGTTTAATAGTCACTTATCAGTGCACTCAGGTTAACCATGCACATTTAGGGAGGCCTCTTTGAATTGTAGATTTTAATTTCTGCTGCAAAAGCCTGCTTTTTGCCTGGTGGAAAAGGTCACTAAAGCATACATGGAAGGACTTTTAATATTTCATGTACTGGTGTACAACTTGTGGTTTTTTTTTAATTTATTCGGTACACTTCATCAGTTCACTGATTTTTTTTATTCTATAGTTATTGTGTGGCCATATATTTTTGCTGTATGCATTTTCCATGTGAATTTTACGTCTAATAAGATATGCTGATAATTTACATCATGATGTTGAGAGTGATATTGATAATTTCATTGGTTAACAGGTTTGTCAGTTGACTATTGTGGAAGATGAAGTGACCTTACTTTTAAGCATGGTTTTTTCTCTAATAAAAAGGGATAAAATGAGAAAAATTACAAACCTAGTCTGTACTAAATTCCTACAGTTATGGAAAGCTGAATATATATATATAAGATGACAGTTATTGGAGGTTGGACCAGACAAACCAGTGACTGATGCTGTACACCATCTAGGTATGGTGACACATGTCACCAAGCTGAACAATCCAATCTACAGGACCTGGAGTCCTGTATTTGAGGGTACCTGGGACTCATACTCTTAATTTTCTGGGTTCCTGGACAACAAAATGGGGGTCCCAGACACTTAAATATTATTATTGATACTGTTAGGGTATTGTGTATCATGACCATCACATTGTTACAGTAATTGAATTGCAAATAATACTATAACCCAGCTAGTAGCAAACTCAGTGATAACGTATTGTTACTTGATTGGAAATTTTACAGTCACAACCACAGGATGCTGGAGACCAGGGCCTAGATTGTCGAAGCTCTCTTAGCGCTAAGAGAGTCATAAGTGCCATACTTTAACATAACTTACGACTACCGGTATCTGAGCACTAAGAGAGCTTCGAAAATCAAGGCCCTGTTCTGGCCAAGAATGACCTTTGAATTGGATCCTTATTGAGTGAGTGAGTTTTCAGTTTTAATCCGCTTTTAAGCAACATTTCAGACAGCTTCACACATTTTACCATGTGGGGAATCGAAACCAGGTCTTCGGCGTGATGAGTGAAGGCTTTAGCCACCAGGCTACCCCACCGCCCCTCGATCCTTAGTGCAAATACAGTTTAGGTTAGGGTTGGACACTCATATTATATTATCTTAACCCTTACATTTTGTATTCATGCATAATAAGGTAACAATTGCTGAGCTCTAACATGCAGACTCTGCCAAAACATTTTGAATCTACTAGCCCAACTTTATTCTTAGCATCAATTTAGTTTCAGTTTATCTCACAGTCTTATCCACTGTATTAACTTGTGAAGATGCAGGTTAGAATTTTTATTTCTTCTGTATTCAGTGAACTACCAGTCACCTCTACAAAGTAATAACAGAAACTGAAAGAATTTGATACTTATGACAGCGCCTGTGCCCTGCCTTGGTTTATTAGCTAGTGTGCTTAGTGTAGCATTAATGAGCTCAGATTGCTGATTGTGCCTCTTCGATCCTTAGAATAGTTGTTTTAGGGATTGAGTAGGTAACTCCTAGCTCTAATCTTTAGTCCTTGGATCCCCTTTCTTATCAAGCACCTCTGAAGTAGCTGTAAGGTTAGACAGCCCTTTTCCATCTAACATCCTTCAATTCATGATCCTTAGGGTCGGGCACCACGTGCTAACCAAATATCCTTTACGATTCTTAGGTTTAGTCACCTGTTTACGATCCCTGGGTTAGTTGTGGATAATTACATTAACTCATTAGCTAAGCTTCGGCTTTTGGCTTGCACAGTTCCCATACGGCACTTGTTGAATACAAGGGCGCCAAACAAAGGACACTAGTCGCAGTGATGAAATACAAGCATGTGAACCATTCCAATGATTAATAAATAGAGGGACCAATCTACACTACCTAAAATTATATTCATATAGTTATTGATTAGTGCGACTGACAGAGTTGCAGACGTCAGACATGATCATGGTGTTGATTGACAGGAAGGAGTGACGTTAAAATGTTAACAAGGCATAGATATACTTACTGTCAGACATATCTTTCAAAGACGAGATCTCATAACTTCAATTTTTTTCAAAACAAATGCCAATCTCTGTTTTTTCCAAGCATCACCGAATGAAAACATTCCCTGTCATTAATAAACCGGAAGTGAGAGTATCGAGGTTAGAGTGATGCCCCTTGTTAGAAGCGGCTGTAATAGATTTTGGTAGTCATGTTACATATCTGATTCCTCATCCGTCAGCACCCTTTCCCCCCGCAGAATTCATATTTCAAACAATTTCTCAATTCTTTAACCACGTGTTAACGTTATGGCTAATATCTTGTTATATTACCCATAAGATAAAAGAGCGAGCTTAATATAACCGTCTGTTATTATAGCCAGTTATTTTCAGGAGCAGTGTGTCGTCACAATAGTACATTGTAAGTGATAGTGAATTATGACGTCATCCAGTGTTCATTACGTCATATCTTCATATCGTTACGTTGAATGTTTGTGAAGTGTGGTGCTCGTTTCCGAAGGTATTAAACGCTGCAGTAAAAGGACGTTACCTTGAATGGTTATGAACTGTGGTGCTCGTTTCTAATGCATGCAGGTATTAAATAACCAGTCCACGGAAATTGCTCTGGATCAGTGGCCCTTTAAATACCAAGTCTTCCATGAAAAGACGTTGCCCTGTAAGGTCATGAACTGTGATGTTCTTTTCTGAATTTGACATAAATAGATTACACAGACTTAACTCTGTCGTGTTCGCATCATCTTTATAAAAATGTAGCGCCATTTAGTCTTTATTTAAAAAACCAAAAAACAAAAACAAACGTGCCTCTTGACGAAGATCTGGAAAAAAGACTGTTCAACATATGCTATCCCAAAAAGGAAACGCATATGCCAGAAATCTGTTGCGAAAATGTTGTATTTTCAAACATGTATAACTCGTCCACAAATAGACTTTAGGAAATGATTTTTGCATCAGTTTAGAAGAAGGTAATGTCTGTACAACCAAGTGATAATTTTAGAAAAACGGAGACGCTGAGCGCGATGGTGACGGTCCCGACGTCGGGTCTCCTGGCTCTCAGTCCAATCTCTCTCAACCTGTTCCGTACACTTTGACCGGATATCCTCTGAAGTCCAGGCACCCTGGCTGCTGTGCTCTCACCCGTGGCAATACGATCACGCAAATGTAATACCCGGATGTACCGATCTTGGGCTGCAGTGGTGACTCGAGGTCTGCCTGTACGGGGACGGTCATTTGTTATACCTGTTTGGTTGTAACGAGCTGCAAGCCGTAATATCGTGCTCAGACTAACATTCAGACGCCTGGCAAGAGAAGATTGGTAATCTCCAGCGTGCATTCTTTCAATGGCGATGTTCCGTGTCGCAGCGTCAAGACGTGGCGTAGTGATTTGACCTTGAAACTCCTTCAAAACGAATGCCAATTTCCGAAAGTAATCTGGATTTTTATAGCCAGACAGTGCATGCTGTTAACTGCACAATTTCAACTGGAAGGTGATTTCTGTTGCGTTGTGGCGAGGCCTTTCTAATTCTTGTAAGAATTCTCATCAAAATCAACATTTTCAGGTAAAGTCGATATTTTACTTGTGCAGTTGTGTAAAATCATGTTATCAACACTTTTGTTACATATTTTGACTATTTGACACAATAGGTAATTAATAGATTTTTTAAAATACAAATCGCCTATGCGTTTCTTTTTGGGGATAGTATATTTATCTGCTGGACATTAAGAACGTTATACAGCCATTTGTTATTATACTCTACAGGAGCGGTGGGGTATCAAGCGGTTAAAGCGTTCGCTCGTCACGCTGAAAGTCCGGGTTCAATTTCCCACATTGGTACATAATGTGAAGCCCATTGCTGGTGTTTCCCCGCCGTGATATTGCTGAAATATTGCTAAAAGCGGCTTAAGACCCAACTGACTGACTCACTCACACTCCACAGCGTCATTGTTAGTATTGTTCAATGAACGTTGTACTTGGACATGGTTGTTTTCAACTGACAAGTTATTCAAGGTTGATAAAGTAGTCACGAGGATCCTTTCAGATCTGGGTTACAGTTGGTCTTCAGCAACCCATGCTTGTCGTAAGAGGCGACTAACGGGATCGGGTGGTCAGGCTCGCTGACCTGGTTGGCTCATGCCATCGTTTTCCAATTGCGTAGATCGATACGTGTGCTGTTGATCTCTGGATTGTTTGGTCCAGCCTCTATTGTTTACAGACTGCCACCATATAGATGGAATATTGCTGAGTGCGGCGTTAAACAACAACCAACCATTTAAAGTTGTCACGAGTGGTTAAGATGAATTTATGTCTTATTGATGAGGATGTAATGTCAACAACTTCTCTGTGTGCGGGGGTTACAGCTGACTTCTATTTGGTCTGCACCACGTCCTACTTTCGAACCTAAAACATCCGCCACATCCGTAACACCAAAGGGTTAAACCGGACTCACTCACTCTCGTATCTTCATAACGTATTTCGTGGACACGGGACCCGTGAAGGTCCGGGTTAGAATACTGATCTTCAGTAACCCATGCTTGTCGTAAGAGGCGACTAACGGGATCGGGTGGTCAGGCTCGCTGACTTGGTTGACATGTCATTGGTTCCCATTTGCGCAGATCGGTGCTCATGCTGTTGATCACTGGATTGTCTGGTCCAGACTCGATTATTTACAGACCGCTGCCATATAGCTGGAACAGTGCTGAGTGCGGCGTAAAACTAAACTCACTCACTCACTCGTGGACACGGGTTACCCGCAATTCGCTGTCTTGAAGTGTCTCCCTTGGGCACGTTAAAAACCTGGGCCCCGTTTCACAAAGCTATCGTAGCACTACGACGGTCGTAACTCCTATACTGTATCATAGACAGTCGTAGCGCTACGATAGCTTTGTGAAGCGGGGCCCTGATCATTGGTTTGAATCCCGGTTCGTCCCGATTATGTGTCTAGGTTTATCAGCAGGATATCTGTTCTCGTGGGTTTCACCATGCAAAGTGGCGAACAAAAGACCAGCACCTGCCCTACTTGGACTTTTTAACCATTCGTCACCACTCGCCCCTTTCCGTAACCTCCAACGGCTTGTCCCGGAATAACACGAGTTGGTCACGAATGTGTTCCATACATCTTTAAACGAGACGTGATTTACCGACTCGCTTTTTCCCAAACTCAGTTTCAGCATATTACAGTGTGCACAGCATGGACCTGATCATTTCAAAGAACTGATCAAAGCGGATTGTTCAGCAAATCGATAGCTTCAGTGTGTGTGAATGTGTATCGTCTACATTTCTCAGAGGGTAATGACATGTCCGTCCACTTGCAAGACTAACAATGATTGGTACAGTTACATTTGAAATTCTCCATTTAAGTATCTGTAATATCTACATGTCTGGACGTTTGCCGCTGACAACGGCGTAGATCAATGCTCACGATGTCAATCACTGGATTTTCTGAACAAAATCTCGAACATTTAAAATCCGCCGTAATGTAACTGAACAATTCTGTGACAACCAACAAACAAACGTCATCCTGATGCACCAGGCCCGTATGTTCATCTTACAATAAAAACAAAATATCATTTTCTCATTTTCTTTATCATATAAAATTATTGTAAACATTATATAAATAAATTATAACAATTGAATTATCACAGGTACAAACCTGTGAAGTCGGTGTTTTTTAACATTGAAATCCACAATATGTACACGCATAGCAGCTGTTTAAACATACCCAAGCTAGCTGCAACATCATTAACACTGTATAGGTCAACATCATTAACACTGTATAGGTCAACTTTATGTCTACATTTGTAGAATATTTGTATTCAAGTACCCACTACACACTAGTGTAGTGCTCGTATAACCAGGAAATTACATCGTTATTGTCATTAATATTTTTTTATGATCAGCAGTTAAATAAACCCGCAGGTGAAAATATGTATGTGTGAAACTGGATTTATACTAATATGGGAAGCACTGATATTTCTGGGGCTCATCGAGGATCATCTCCTGTTTGGCTTTCTTTCAACATGGCTCAAAGGCCCATTTCCGGTCCATTTTTGTATATTCTCGATGTATAATTACAGCAATCATAAGAGATAGATCGATAGAAAACTGAGTATGTGATTCAAATATATCTTAACTGGAAGTGTGGTGAGGTCTATGTTGAATAGTATTTTAATGTTGACATCGTCACGACTTTTCTCTCAATCTGAAATAAAATTCATACTTAATGTCATTTGTTATGATTTGATACAGTGATATTTTTCATTCAAATCTGTCATCTACATGAGACAGTACTTGGCCCAGACAGGATCCATCTCTGGATATTACTGCTGAAGGGGTCGTTGTCGGTACAGGTACTACACATATATTCCCTAGGTACGTTTTTGTATACTGAAACGTACCCAATCCAAAATCTGAATACAGAGCGGTTTCAATATCTATGTATTCCATGACAAAACCTGAAGATGCCATTTATCTATGTTATGATATACTCTATATTCAAATCGTGATACTTACAGTCATGAAGTTAAACATAAATTTAAACACCCTTTTTCACCCATCAAACCCAATGAAACATTAATGGATACGGGTGCAGTGCTGGATCAACCATAGCAAAATCATAGTGGTTCGAATATCAGCTTCACAGCCGTGATAATTCTTATGCAGACTTACAATCAGTCGACAGCGAATCTCAGCGAGGTGGTCTAATCATCCTGCCTGAATTAATGGTTTCAGCGTTCCATGATTCCTGGAATTAAAATGCATGACATGGATCGTTTATTGCAATCACAAATTCCATAATCAGGGCCCCGTTCCTCAAAGCGATCGTAGCGCTACGACAGTCGTAAGTCTATGTTAAAGTATGGGATCATCTTAGCGGTACGATCGCTACGGGGAAGAGGGGGCCAGAGTCTCAGTTACCTTATTCCTTTGGTGCGAGCAATAGTCTTGTTGCATCACGGTTGACGCCCAACCAAACTGATTCCATCCACACAACCATGCAATCCTCAAGGATCTGTTTGCTGTTTTCCGTCGCACACAACAAAATGCCAGCTATATGGCGTCGTACTGTAAATAATTGAGTCTGGACCAGACATAAGAATAGGTCTATGCAATTAAGTTTGAGTGAGTTTACTTTTACGCCGCTTTTAACATTATTCCATCGCTATCACGGCGGGGGACACCAGAAATGGGTTTCACACATATTGAGTGAGTAAGTGAGTTTGGTTTTACGCCGCTTTTAGCAATATTCCAGCAATATCACGGCGGGGGACACCAGAAATGAGCTTCACACATTGTACCCATGAGGGGAATCGTATGGGTCTTTGGCATGACGAACGAACGCCTTAACCACTTGGCAACCCCACCACTCCTGTAGGTAATTGGCACACAATGACACAGCAATTGGGATACAATGACACCGCAATTGGCACAGAATGACACCGTAATTGGGATACAATGACACCGCAATTGGCACAGAATGACACCGTAATTGGGATACAATGACACCGCAATTGGCACAGAATGACACCGCAATTGGGATACAATGACACTATAAGGAGTGATGGTAATGAAGCCGATGGGGTTATTTGGTACTGTTACTGTGTTGTTCATTGTGTAGCAGTGTTCCAAGTGAGATACATTGTACGTGTAGATTCAAGAAGAGGCAGTGGTGTGCTATAGACTTGTACTGGGTTTAAACAGAAAGATCTGGAAAGTTCCTCAGGGTGCTTGTCTCAGGGTCCGCTACCTCGGCGGTCAGTAAATAATATAGCCTGGACCAGACAATCCAGTGATCAACAGCACGTGCATCGATCTACGCAATAGGGATACGATGACATATGTCAACCAAGTCAGCGGGTCTGACCACCCGATCCCGTTAGTCGCCTCTTAAGACAAGCATGGGTTGTCAGATTTTCACGGCTGCAATCCTCAAGGTACAAATACCTGTATTGTTATGCCATTACACGAAGTTCTGTAACGTATGTACGTAGTAATCGATAATTGATAACCAATAGTCAATACTCACGACTTCCGCCAAAGACAACACTTTGTCGACATCACAATGTCTTTCAAACTTTCTTTTAAGCTTCTCTGAAAAGGATGGAAGACAGAGTTTACATGGACTCTAACAAATACTGTGAAAATGTCCCTGGGGGTACAGAAAATACGTGATCTGCATTACCAGTTGACAGATTTCCATTTATGTGGGAGCTGAGTGGGTTAGATCTCCCACTTTGCGTGCTGACATTACTGAGGAAGTGTAATCCCAAACGTTTTATAGTAATATAAAAAACAACAACCTAGCGTTTAAACATTTAAAATTAGGCAAAAAAAGGACAAGGGAGGTAACTCGTGTTACCACTAAACCAAAAGCACTGCCAGTTTTAATGGACACGAAGCCATGTTCGTGTTCGACTATAATTATCTTACCTGGACGCCTTTTTATTTTTATTCTCCGCATTTTTGGTCGCTGCATGTTTGGTCGACTGAAATAAAACAATAACATTAAATAACTGCTCACCAGTAACATTAAACTGAAACAATTTCTACACAGGTGCATACTCAGCAACAATAGTTACAATCAACGTCCCTTCCGCTACATTTCAGTTTTATAAAATACACCTAGCCATATGCAAAACGCCATGTGAGAGAACTCTTCATGGTTTCTTGTACATCCAATGGGTTTTTTGCAAATCTTTTTTAGTAAACAATAACCATATTATTGGGAGAGTAAGCTTTAGCTACAGAAATATACAAGATAACGCAACACAATAAGGCTATAATTAAATACAAGGAGCTATAATATATACAGTAAGATACAATAAGGTTCAGCTACAATAAAACACGTACCGAATGAGGTTGGATTTAAGATACTTAATATCACAGTTACAACTCTCTGATTTAGGGTCAGTGGGGTAGTCTAGTGGTTAAAGTGTTCGCTCGTCACGCTGAAGACCCGGGTTCGATTCCCCACATGGTTACAATGTGTTAAGTCCATTTTTAGTGTCTCAAGCCTTGATATTGCTAAAAGCGACCTAAGGGGAGGCTCTATACTCACCACAGGAAGGCTCTGTAATCACCACAGGAGGCTCTATACTCACCACAGGGAGGCTCTATACTCGCTACAGGGAGGCTCTAAACGTACCACAGGAAGGCTCTATACTCACTAAAGGGTGGCTCTATACTCACCACAAGGAGGCTCTGTAATCACAACAGGGAGGATCTATACTCACTACAGGAAGGCTCTATACTCACCACTTGAAGGCTCTATACTCACCACGGGAAAGCTCTATGCTCACCACAGGGAGGCTCTATACTCACCACAGGAAGGCTCTGTAATCACCACATGGAGGATCTATACAACAGGGAGGCTCTATACTGACTACAGGGAGGCTCTATACTGACTACAGGGAGGCTCTATACTCACCACAGGGAGGCTCTATACTCACCACAGGAAGGCTATATACTCACCACAGGAAGGCTCTATACTCAGCTCAGGGAGGCTCTATACTCACCACAGGGAGGCTCTATACTCACCACAGGGAAGCTCTATACTCACCACAGGGAGGCTCTATACTCACCACAGGAAGGCTCTGTAATCACCACATGGAGGATCTATACAACAGGGAGGCTCTATACTGACTACATGGAGGCTCTATACTGACTACAGGGAGGCTCTATACTCACCACAGGGAGGCTCTATACTCACCACAGGAAGGCTATATACTCACCACAGGAAGGCTCTATACTCAGCTCAGGGAGGCTCTATACTCACCACAGGGAGGCTCTATACTCACCACAGAGAAGCTCTATACTCACCACAGGACGGCTCTATACTCACCACAGGGAGGCTCTGTACTCACCACAGGGAAGCTCTATACTCACCACAGGACGGCTCTATACTCACCACAAGGAGGCTCTATACTCAGCTCAGGGAAGCTTTATACTCACCCCAGTGCATTCTTCGCATACATGGCAAACCCTGTCAGCACAGCTACGCTCATCAGCATGAGAGACCCCCTCAAGATCCACGTCTCCATGTCCACGCCAGACTGACTTGTGACCACTGGAACAGCAAATACTGATCTCTTGCTCTCACTATAACCATCTGTTATTACCACTCTTCTTTACTACTTTTAGTGCGACGGGCAGCTTAGTGGTTCGATCGTCAAGCCGGGTTCGATTCCGCACATGGGTACAATGTGTTCAATGTGTGAAGCCCATTTCAGGTGTCCCTCCCGCGATATTGCTGGAGTTTTTTTCAAAGCAGCTAAAACCCATGCTCATTCATTGATACTACCACCAACATTTCCTGCTGGAAGCTCTACAGCAGGTGCTTGTTGTAAGGGGCCTTTAACGGGATCGGTCGGTCAGGACTGACTGACTGAGTTTGGTTTTACGCCGCTTTTAGCAATATTCCAGCAACATCATGGCAGGGGACACCAGAAATGGGCTTCACACATTTTACCCATGTGGGGATTCGAACCCGGGTCTTCGGCGTGACGAGCCAACGCTTTAACCATTAGGCTACCCCACCGCCCGGTCGGTCAGGATGGTTGACGTGGTTGATGACTGTAGTCGTATCCTAAATGGTCATGCTATCAACCACTGGACTGTCTGGCCCAAACAGGCCGCCATCATAGGATATTTCAGCGTTAAACAACAAACAAACTTCCTAGGAACCGGATCCAACTCTGCGTTAATCACTTCATAACTTGACTGGTTTGTTTGCTCTGCGACCAACACTACCCAACCCTTTCATTACGGCAGCGTTCAAATAAGTGGATAGTCGCCACATCCACTATAGTGACTGAGTATGGTTTTACGCCGCTTCTAGCAATATTCCAGCAACATCACCGCAGGGGGATGCCAGAAATAGGCTTGTACCCATGTCGGGAATCGAACCCGGGCCATGGGCGTGACGAGCGAACGCTTGAACCATTACTCTACCACAGTAACCCCACATCAACTATAATAACCAACGCCGTCGGGGCGGTGGGTGTCTAGTGGTTAAAGCGTACGCTCGTCACGCCGAAGACCCGGATTCGATTCCCCACATGGGTACAATGTGCGAAGCCTATTTGTGGTGTCCCCCGCCGTGATATTGCTCGAATAATTATTACTGAAGCTGGGTAAAACTTACTGACTTTTCTACAAAACGGTAGACTTACCTGGGTCATTTGACTCAATATTGATGGTGACCGTGGCGGTGGTGGAACGAGGAGTGTCACCAGTATCAGAAGCAGCGACGGCAACCTCGTAGTAGGACAAGCTATCTGCATCCAACTTTGACGACGTGTACAACCCACCGACGCCGTCACTTTCCCGCATCGTCAACACACCCGGCTCTTGAATGCCATTACCTTGTAGTAACAAGAAAACACAGTCATCCAAACACAAGCGCTGTAAAGGAAATCAGATATCTGGCCCAGGGCCTAGATTTTCGAAGCTCTCTTAGCGCTAAGATAGTCGTAAGTGCCATACATTAACATTAATTTACGACTATCTTAGCGCTAAGAGAGCTTCGAAAATCTAGGCCCAGGGTATCTACTTTGAATGTATGCGAGTGAGTGAATATTGCATGGCGGCGCATAAGCAATTTTGCAGCTATTCGCAGCAACGTGTATGTGAAAGAAGCGGTAATATCTAAAATACTTTTTTTAAATCGCACATCAAAAGGTGGGGAAGTGGTGTGTGTTGTTTCATACACTGCACTGACGTCCAAGTCTTGGGTGAACAATCCAGTTTGAGGATATCCACACCAACCTCATCATTGGCCCCAACCTTCACATACATCACAGTGCATCCCGGTGGAACTGTGGCTGCTCTGTGAAACATTACGCTATCTTTCATTACATGTGTGCCATAAGCGAAGCCAGTTGTGGTGTCATCTCCTTTCTAAAAATGATAACGCTGGAGGAGTGTTTCAACACGGGGAAGACACTGATACTGTTTGTTCACTACGGCTTAGGGTCTAAAACACCGTTCAACCTCTAAACCTAGTGCTGTTTTTAAACAGCTGAACCAAGGCGTCAAATATCTTTTAGTGACTTACGGCTTGACCCCACTTCTGGCAGTCAACAAAAAAACGATTGAGCCAGTATTGGTTTGCGCCGCTCTTAACAACATTCCAGGGTGTGACACCAGAAATGAACTTTAGACATTACCAAAAGGTTACGCCACCGCCTTAAGAACAAACACTTGAGAACAAACCAGTGTGCCATATTAATTATGTAAATACCTACAGGAGCATAGTCGGGGTAGGTGTGGAAAGGCGGGTATTGTGGAGTAGCCCAGTGGTTCAAGCATCGGCTTGTCAACACCACGAGCCGACTTCGACTCCCTGTATGGACACAAAGTGGACCGCCTACTTTTGGAGTCCCACCCTACTCCTTAGGTCGTGAAGCTGCTAAAAGCGGCGTCAAACCATACTCACTCACTCACTATTACTTGCATATCAGTCTGACTGTCAATTCATGTTATATTTTCCAAAACGGCCCTAGCAAACCTACTCGAGGTAATTGACCGTATCTCGTAGACGATCCTTCCGTCTTTCCCATCATCTCCGTCCTCGGCGGTGAAATTGGCCACCAAGGAACCAAACGGAACCGACTCCATAACCGTCACGTTGGGGAATTTTCCGTTGACGTCAACGACGGGTTCCATCCACTCAGGCGTGAACTCATTTGTTGGATCCACCTAAATGGCAATATATATCGCTTTCTATTTGTCATTACAAGAAATCAAGCCAAAAGCCACATGTCGTCAATTTTGGAGTGAGTGAGTGAGATTAGTTTTAAGCCGCACTCAGCAATATTACAGCTATATGGCGGCGGTCTGTAAATAGTCGAATCTGGACCAGACAATCAAGTGATCAACAGCATGAACATCGATCTACGCAGTTGGGATACTATGACATGTGTCAACCAAGTCAGCCAGCCTGACCCCCCGATCCCGTTAGTCGCCTCTTACGACAAGCATGGGTTACTGAAGACCAGTTCTAACCCGGATCTTCACCGGTCATGAATTTTGGACGTAGGACAAAAGTTGCAAAAGCTGCGGCGCTAAAGGTGACAATGCGTAGTGATGCATAAATCGTGAACCCGTGTATAGCAAACAACATGCGGTATCAAAAAGTGATGTGCGGAAATGGCTATCAGCAATTGTGGAAAAAAATGCATAATTTATTCAATTTCAAGTTTTCGACGTTTTAAAATTCGATCGGAAGTCTGCGAGCCCGATTGTTACATACATAAAACTTGCATTTTATTGATACATTCTTTCGTAGGAACTGCTTTTAAAATGAGAAAATTTTCAGGTATGTGAAGGTCAAATTTGGTTGCTGGTTCGTTATGTAAAATGGAAGGAAAATGTTATAACGCTATTCTGCACATGAAGCATCTGCATCCTATAACAATATATAACAAAAGGCTCAGTTATGAGAGAAAATAACTCTTATCAAAATGGTTGCCGAGGTGGGATTGTCAACAGATACAACAAATTGATCCTGAAAAGAATGAAGCCTTTAAAAGCAGAACACTGTTGATTGTGCATCCATAATGCACGTACGTACGCACGCACGCGCACATGCACGAACACACACACACACACACACACACATATATATATCGCTATTGTTCCATATATTCAGTCTGTTCAGAATTTGATGATTGAGTAGAAAATTGTATCAGACTTCTGAAAATGTTTCACATATCAAGTCTATACAGCTATAAATGTCGCCAATCAAGTATTCTCTATAAAATTTCAACTTTTAACTATGAATTCTGAATTATTCCATTCTTTACATAGAGAACTTTCTTAAGATAAAACAGTGAAATGATGTCTGATATTCATTGTCTCTGTTTAGTGTTTGTTCTGTGTTACCGTCACGGTGACTAATGCCGTTCCCGTCAACGCTTGTCCGTCCACTGGAGTATCTATGGCAACCACCGTCAACGTATGCTTATAGTCGGTATTGGCAAGGGCTTCATAGTCGATGTTGGAAGGGTTGGCGTAGAGCGTTGTTCCAGTGATGTTGTACATGCTGCCGACGTTGGTGGGCGATAGGATGTTGATACTGTACTCTCCGTTGACACCCGCGTCCTCATCGGTAACGACAAAGTCAAACAGGGCCTGACCTGATGATTGGATTGAAAACAATCGTCCTTAAATCTTCGGCAAAACAGCATCTTTTAGAAAATACATACCCCAACCAAACCCAATATCGTCATGGAGAGAAAACAAATTAATAGTAATGCAAATAATCTAAACACCCTGTCCCAACCACCCAACAACATAACATAGACGGAACTAAAGTACACCTTCGGGTAAAAGAACATACTGACTGACTGACCGAGTTTGGTTTTACGCCGCTTTTAGTAATATTCCAGCAACATCACGGCGGGGGACACCAGAAATGGGCTTCACACATTGTACCCATGTGGGGATCCGAACCCGGGTTTTCGGCGTGACGAGCAAACGCTTTAACCACTAGGCTACCCCACCGCCCCAAAAGAACATACACGTCAATGGTTCTTAGTGAACAGATTTAAACAATTCATAAATGGCTATTCATTGGTAATGCATTTGATAGGGGCATGCTAGATGCCCTTTGGATGTATGTCTTGGACACTGTATTTAGCCGGGTACGTTTTTATAACGTTTGAAGTTTCCTTGTCCAGACCAATTTTTAAAACTTCTTTGGGAGGCTCTTGGAAGTTAAACTGATAAGATAAGATAAACTGACGTATTAAAATGACCCCAAGGCACCAACTGTGGACTTTCTTTTGCGCATCAGTTTATATGAATGAACAGCTTCTTTATTGCACTAGGGGTGACATTTAGGTGTAGGTTCTAACTTGGCTGATGACGGTGTTAGATCATACACCGAAACGTCGCTCCTATTGTAATAAAGAAGATGTGACTCAATGTATCTTATCCTTCCATGTCATGAATGTTTACTCTCTGTTGCAGCTTGTAACACAAAACAAAATCAAACAATTCAAAATCCCAAATAAAAATAAATATTTACCAATACATACCATTCTAACAAATAGAAAACAAGTGCAATAGCACACAGAGATGTTACATTCCTGTGTATGCTTTGGTAACATCAGTTACACAAATAATTATGTTTCAGCAACCGAAAAGATAAACAATGTTTGTGAATATTTCATTTTGACACTTCAAGAATAGGTTCTATTTCTGCAATTAGTGTTGTTCCGATGATCGAAAAAACTCGAAAATCGATCGAAAGAAGGATTAAAAATGATTATCGATTGTAAACAAAATATTTTTGATTAATCGGAATTTTGTTGATTTTGTATAACACCCTTGCATTGAGTAACCATTTAATTTGATGAATATTCACGAACAAACATGCGCTCAACAGCGTAAGGCTATGCGCATTGTAAAATTTTAACCACTTTTATTGTTTAATTACAATTCCAGTGTCTTTCTTGCATGCGTGCATTTCATTGCATGACAGTATTAGTTATAAAAAAACGATTGGCGATTACATTAAAAATGTATATATACTCTCCCAAAAAAGAAACGCATCATGAAAATAGCAATTTCATGTAGCAATGAATTAAAACGTGATTCATTTTACAAAAGGTTTTGCTCTGTTTATGAGTCCTATGGTGTTTATGTTTTGAAACATCCGTAAAATACCCGTAGTTAACAGCATGATTTTCGGCGTGTAGTGTCACAGAATACATACATGCAATGCACGTGAAAGTTGGGGATCAGATAGTCTCAATGATGGGTATAAAAGGTTGATTGCTGTCTGTCGTTTATTTACTGTATTTGGAATATTGTTGACGAACGCAAAATGCCACGTCTAAGTGAAGCCAGCCGTCATATCGTCATTGGTTTGCTTGAAGCTGGCCAGTCTCAACGTGCAGTTGCCCGACGCATGAATGTTCACCAAAGCACCATTTCACGGCTCTGGGAGAGATATCGCCGGCAGAATGCGATAGCAGATGCCCCTCGTAGTGGGCGACCTCGAGCGACCACTGCGGCGCAGGATCGCTACATCCGGGTACATCACCTGCGTCATCGAACAGCTACGGCAACCAGTACCGCTTGACAAATACACGGTATGAGGAGGCTTTCTGCACAGACCGTCAGGAACAGGTTGAGAGAGGCTGGTTCACGTGCCAGAAGACCTTATTTTGGCCCTGTGCTTCGACAACAACATCGTCGACATCGAGTTCAATGGTGCGCCAACGTTCAGGCCTGGAACCTACCGAATTGGGGTAGAATCTGGTTCAGTGATGAATCACGATTTCTATTGGAACGACGCGATGGAAGAATGCGGGTGTACAGACGTCGATGTGAACGTTTCGCCGACGTTTGCGTTCCCCAGGTGGACAGATTCGGCAGGGGAATTGTGTTATGATGTGGGGAGCGATCACCTGCCGTAGGAGAAGTGATTTGGTGATGATCCAGGGCAACCTGACAGCTCAACGGTACTGTGAAATCCTACGCCCACACCTCCTTCCAATCATTGATCGCCAGAGGGAGTTGTTTCAACAGGACAGTGCCAGGCCCCACACAGCACGTCACACTAGAGACTTCCTCCAGAACCACAACATCAATGTGTTCCCCTGGCCCTCAAGATCACCGGACTTAAACCCGATCGAACATCTGTGGGATGCCCTGGACAGACGGGTGCGACGCCGTAACCCTCAGCCCCAGACACTTCAGCAACTCGCACAGGCACTACAGGCAGAGTGGGCTGCGGTTGGGCAACACGAGATTCTGAGACTTATTCGTTCGATGCCGAGGCGATGCCGTGCAGTTCTGGATGCCCACGGTGGTCACACGAGGTACTGACTTCAGCGCCACCACACGTCTCCATGTGACACTCAAACTGACTTTCCTCGAGTTGGTGCCAAAGACGGATAAGTCTGCATTCCCAGTGTGCAATTTTGCTATATTTCGTTGACTCATAAAGCCTAAAAGATGTTTCAAAATAAACATAAAAACACAGTTGAAATTCCTATATGCGTTTCTTTTTGGGGAGAGTATATTTCGATTATAATCGAAGTCCTCCGATAATCGATAGTGGATTTGGTTTCCGATTCCCAACACTGTCTGCGATGAACTATTTAAAAATATATAGCTACTGATGAGTACCGGTTTCATGCCTGTCACGTATATTCCTGAGACTCCCAAGGGTCTATATACACAGAACAGGATTCCATATTGTATCATATGACAGAGTTAACTATTCGTACCCCGTACAAGTACCTGGGACGTATACATACCGCCCAAGTCACCTTCTGTAACAGATGCAGTGTACGACAGATTGGCAAACAGTGGCGCGTTGTCGTTAATATCCCAGATGGGAAACCGAAGATCCGAGTTAGTTGATTGTCCCCCTTGATCTGTCACGGTCAAGGTCACGTCTTCAAGCACAGTCATGCCGCCTTCGTAATCGATGGACTCATTAATAGATAACTCTCCTGTGTCTTCATTGACGGACAGCATATGTGCATTAGTACCTGATAAAAAATATGAAATTATGTAGGAAACTTTCAAAAATATTCAAATATGCTCCGGTTACATAAGTGAGATAACGCTGTATCGTCAGCGCACCTCGCAACTTGCGCATACTTTTCTATATAAGTATCGTTCACTTCCTTCCATATTTCATACAACTAGTGTAAAACGTCGGCTCCTTCTGTGTAGCCCGATTACAACTATGATTGTGAAGCACCTACCGGAAAGGGTGTACTTGAAAACGTCTCCGAGGTCAGGGTCATCGATAATGAAGACATCTCCAAGCACGGTGCCAATGAGCTGCCCCTCTGGTATGGAGAAACCCGGCGCCGTGATGGAGGGCGGCTCGTCCATGACGTTACCGACATTTACGACGAATGATACGTAGGTGGTGTGAATACCGTCACCAGCGCTGTTAACGGTATGTAATTGAGCTTTACGTCACAGTTTGTTTATTTGATTTACGTTTCTTTAATGCTATGGTGGTCTTTGACAAACATCGTTTTAATATACGTCTTGTTTTGGTGAATGGAATAATATGGTTAAACTACGCTTCAATGCATACAACTAAACGTTGATTATCTGAGAAAATCTGAAATTACATTCTAAGTGAATGTACCCTTGATTTATGAATCAACTTTCTGTATCTTTGAAAAAGAGTGAGTGAGTTAGGTTTTACACCGCTTTAGCAATATTTGAACAATATCACGGCGGGGGACACCAGAAAATGGGCTTCACACATTGTACCCACGTGGGGAATAGAACCCGGGCCTTCTGCGAGACGAGCAAACGCGTTAACCACTCGGCTACCCCGCCGCCCTCCTTTGAAAAAGAGAAATTATCCCTATCAAAGGTGGAGTGGTATATATTTGTGACTGCTTCACTTACCTAATGATGGTGGAGTGGTATCTGTCAGTCTCAAAATCTAATGTTTTCAGAATAATAACCTCCTCTCCTCGAACCTCGAACAGGTCACTAGTGCCTTCTAACGCAAACGTGACATCGTCTCCATCAGGATCGGTCGCCGCTAACGTAAAGATGGCGGAATCGGTGGTGACGTTTTCGTACACCACTATTTGGTACTTTGTGTCTGAGAACACTGGAGCCATGTCGTTCACGTTGTTGACGTATACTTTAACTGAGGCAGTCACGTCTTTTGGAGCGGTGCCGAGGTCTACGGCGCGGATTGAAATGTCGTAGCGGGTGATGCCGCCCTCAGCATCAAGTCCAGACTTGACTTGAAGGTCGCCTGTGTCGTAACCGATGACAAATGTCCCCAGAGCGTCGGATCCGTCATCTTGGACAAAAAACTACTATAATGTTTCTTATCACTAGGACATATTTATCTTGAAATTACATAAGTTAACATTTTGGATATTCCGGAATGATGTAAATACATTTAGAAAGAGACCCGGGTAAAAACTATGACATGTTGGTAATTTCAGTTGTTTAACACCTCAGTCAAGCTCTATGAGGGCAACTTGTAAATAACAGATTATGGTCCAGGCAAACCGGTAATTGATATTATGAGCAATACCCATACTTGTTTGAAGACAATAATTTGAACGGATTCTTTTGGATTCAGGTATTACAAAAAGAGTATTTGTTTGCTGGACAGGCAGGACACATATTCGGCTCCTTCTTTCGGAGAATAAAATATCTGCAAGTTCACTATAAGTACATTTACACCGTTATTTTGAACAATGGTCAGCCAGAAGCAGCTGGGCAGCCATGGACTATTCGGATTGTAACAGATATCTATAAATTATGAGATATATTACATACCAACTGTAATTGAAGTAATCTCATACACAACCACTCCGTCGTCGGCCTGATCGTCATCAGTCGCCGTCACTGTCGTTATTGCCGTCCCCGGAGCAGCGTCTTCGTCAACTGTGACGTCATTGAAGTAACCATTGGCGTCCGGTAACGGGTCACTCCACACAGGGTCGAACTCGTTCTCTGGTTTGACCGTCACCTTCACTATCGCTGTCCCCGTGTTGGCTTCCCCCTGGTCTGGTGTGTCCACTGCCGTGATGACCAAGGTGTACATGTAGTCATTGTCCTTCAACGACTCGTAGTCTAACGGGGTGCTGCTCGTCAATAACTGCTTTCCAGACATCTTGAACTTGGGGTCCGTGTCATCTCCGCTGCCTATGGACACCCTGAAAATGGCGTTGTTACCGTCGTCATCGTCAGTGCACGTCAGGACAAGTAGGACAGCATCTGTTAACAGAAAACAAGACATACATGAGAATAAAATGAGATTTCGCCCGTCTGAGTTCTCCAAATATAACAGATGTTGCGTACAATATGAAAATATATACACTATAACCGGGTCATACAAAAGGTTGACAATACTTGTGTATAAACATTCTGTAAATTCTGCACACATATCATAAATAAATAGAACTGATATAGCTGAGTCATAGTGAGTGAGTTCAGTTTTACGCCGCTTTTAGCAATATTCCAGTAATATCACGGCGATGACACCAGAAATAGGCCGTGGTTAGCGTTCGCTCGTCATCAAACATGAACTAAATGTGACCCCACTCTGAAAACAACAATATAAGGATGTAATAAAACAATAAAAATAAAATAAAACAAATAATAAAAAAACCGAAAAAGCACCATACAATATATATTGTAACCCTGCCTCCATATCCCTCAGTGTTTTAACACACCATACCCAGTCAAACACAGTGTCATGTTGTCTGAATGTGTGAAGCCCATTTCTGGTGTCCCCCGCCGTGATGTTGCTAGAATATTGCTAAAAGCGGTGTAAAACCAAACTCAGTCAGTCAGTCATGTTGTCTGAAGTGAATGATGAGTGTTGAAGATTCATGAACACACCTTCTGCAGTGTTTTCTGTGACTTCCGTTACGAAGACAGCTGGATCGCACACAGGAGGTAGATCATTGATGTCCTCTACTGTGATGGTGAAGTCCTTGGTGGCCTGGAGTCCGGCCTGGTCAGTAACGGTCAGTGTGAGGGACAGCGCAGTTTTCCCATCAGCTCCCTCCCTGTCAACGGTCTGGTTAACAGAGAGCTCGCCAGTGGCTGGGTCTATGGACAAGTAGCCACTGTCCGTACCTGCAGCAGATCGAGCAGAAAGCTGAGTATCAAGAGTATTATAATATGTCCTCAACTTATTGTCAAAGCGTGGGCATGACAATATCAGTAGAAGTGAAACGGTTGGTGGCAATGGCTCCGTCAAATGGTCAGTTGCGTGCCATCGCACCCAGATTGCTTGGATTGTTGCTCACAATGATTGTCTCTTGCACAGGTATATGTCTGGAATATTGCGGCATTAAACAATGAGAATATACTACTACTACTACTACTAATAGTAATAAGTGCATGCATAATGCGCTAAACTCCATTCACTACATGAATGCTTATAGCGCTAACAGATATAATCTGATAATTATTACCCCGGATAACCCAAACTGCCTGTGAGGCATTAGAAGGTTAATAGTCACATAGGGTTAATAGAAGGTTAATAGTCACCGGGTACCCATTTTCTGCTGGGGGAATAAGCGAACAATTAATAACATAAAGACAATAATAGAGAATATTTGATGTAGATATATGATACATGCAGAATCAAATATAATGGTTTTAAATTAGTTTCTGGTTGGGTTTGCTTGCACGATCAATAGATCCGATCCTGGTCTAATAGAGAAAGATATATATTCAGTATGGCATTGATGGTACTGCGGATGACTAATTGTGTATTGCCTGTATTCAGCAGTACTGGGTGACTCACCACTGAGGGAGAAAGTAAGTGTGTCTCCAGCATCAGCATCCGTGGCGGCATACTCTCCATCCACCCCTGTCCCCACAACCTGGCCTTCCGCCATCGACGCTGTCCCTTCCAAGGTTATCACAGGAGCTTCATCTATGACGTCATTGACGCTGACGTGCACGGTGAAATCCGTGGTGAAAGTGCCATCAGATGCACTGAGGGCAATAAAACATGTGCATTTCAATTATATTTGTTTTTGTGACACCGTTTTAAATATATTCTGAAATTGGTTTGAATCTTAATTGCGATTAATTATGATATTTAGGTAGTCATTAGGACATATTTTAATAAGCTTTACTAAATCGAATTGTTATTACTTGGGTGATGTTACGAACAAGTTCACTGATATTGATGTTGATATTGGTAACGTGACACCATTGGAACCATAACGGTGTTAAAACTAATAACATAGTATGGTGATAGACAGTCGAAGCTATATGTACATTTCCATTGGCAACAAATGCATTATGTACAGGGAACTAGGACTGTATTGCATGATTTCAAAGCGTGTCAATGTTCCGTTAAAACACTTCAGAGCGAAACAGACCATATATTCATGCTGACTCTGACATTAAAAGAATATGCCCACAAGTCAATGGTTATACTTTGTCAATATAGTAAAGCGTTACATTTGCTTCCCCTGAACCAATAGATGACCCCAAGGTTCAGCAATAAGGTTCAAGAAAACGTGGACAATATAACCAACATTATCGAATTGCCAAAAATGTTATTCTACCATGACTTCAGTAAATACTGGATTGTGATTGGTTAAACAAGTCATTGTTTACTCACGCTACGCGTTCGGTTTTAAATCTGGTTTTATTTTATGAGTCACCCCAGCACAGTGGAGTTGCCTCCCTTGCGCCGCTACGCTGTAGGTGTTGTATGTTGAGTTTGGTGTAAGTATATATTTCAGAGGATTATTGAGGTTAAGAATTTTTACTCACCGTACGACTAAGATATGAATAGCTTCCTCCTCGAAATTCAGAGCGGCCTTCACTTTTACGTCATATCCGTCACACAGGAACAGATCATCTCGTCCACTGGCGATAGACAACGTCACAGCGTCACCATCGTGGTCAACAACTGCAAGAGACATCACCACAACGTCTACAGCTGCGTCTTCATCGACGGATGTTTCGAAATCAGTCTGGTCAAACACAGGTGCGATGTCGTTGACATTCTCTAGCGATACAGTAATGGTTCCCTGTGTCTCACGCGGTGTCTGACCATTGTCCGAAGCCTTGACCACGACTGTGTAGCTGGACACCCCTCCAGTAGCGGAATCCACGTCAAGTTTGCCTGCCACCAACAACCTTCCTGTCGCTGCATCCATAGAGAATCTGTCTGCTCCATCTGTTCCAGGTGCTACAGGAAGTAAATAATGAGTGAGTGAGTGAGTGAGTGAGTTAGGTATAATGATGTTAATTGTTATCAACATAGAAGCTAAACAGATCACCACAGGTCCTATGACTGTATGCTAATATGTATGTTAATGAGGACATATTTTTTATCCAAGCTATTTCCAGACATTTTGACACCGACGGGCAAGGGTATGGTGTTGGCAGCCTATGGATAATAACAGGAACGGTGAACCGCCTGGGATTCGATCACACGATCACCAGATCATGACTTGGTCAAGGGAGGCAACAATTTCGTCGTCGTATACGTTAACTAATGAGTGTTTAAATCATAACCGACTTATGTGAGTGTAATCGTGCAATAACGACACAGACTTCACCGGCTGTCGTATCGTAGTTGAAATATTGCCTACTACGGAGTAATCAATATTCACTTAATCAGTCTCCAGACATAAAATGTTCTTTCTTACCCCCTTGCAAGAAACCTAACTGAGATAGTTGGTGTCAAACATATGTGTGTTATCGAATTCAAGGTCCGCGAGTGGTTACTTTATGGTGATGAACTGCACTCTCCTACCCAGAGTTCCATGCGGCCAGCCAGCATAATACCTCTGCCACAGGACTGAAAGATGTGACGATTCGTCACATCTTGCACAGTCCATTCAATATGATGTACATATTTCTTAGCTCTTTTATTTTTAATGAGTTTCACATCACATTAAACATCTTTGATAGAATGGTTTAGTTTCACTGAGAAAATATCCTAAAACGTGTAACACTGTTTCGATTTGAGTAGCGATCCTTTGTTTACATAGGTTGTACGGCTCCACGTGCTGTCATCGAAGCCGCCGGAGAGCAAACGATGCAGCCCCTTTGATATAGCAATATGTATTGTCATAAACCTGACTGTCGCAGTTGTAGAAGAATAATTATGTAACAATGTAAACCATTGTGAAGACCGCGCCGAAGTGGTTGCGTAGGGCCAGTATCTTCTTACTTACGAATATGCGCGTTTGTTTACAAACAAGAGAAAAGTCCGGTCACATGATATGCAAATTAGCCTGTGGCAGTGATGTTATGCTAAGTCATCGCTGCGCCGGAGTGTGGATGAACTGAGGTCAGATTATGACGGACTACTTTCCTGAGCGTATTTCATTGAGGGCGGTGGGGAAGCCTTGTGGTTAACGCGTTTGCTCGTCACTCCGAAGACCCGGGTTCGATTCCCGCCTTCACCCACCTGTGAAGATCCAGTATTTCATTGATAAGTTTCTCTTGCTTTAGGTGAAACCATTACGTCTGGCTTGAACGTTTATGGTTCTAGAGTGTTAAACAACTGATAATACATATGGTAATAGTCTCTATATCGCTACGGTAAATCATAATTACTAGTAGATGTCATCACACCGCTATCTACCAACACAGGTTTCAAGAACACAATTTACCAGCGGTTTTTCAAGAACACAATTTACCAGCGGTTACAGACACAATACTGTATGAAACATCTCCATCATTGCCGAGATCGTCATCAACAGCAGTGAAAGTCACTGCAACATCGCCAGGAGCTAGATCCTCTTTCACGGAGATGGCGACGAATGTTCCACTTCCATCTGAAGCAGGTCCTGTCCACACAGGGTCGAACTCGTTCTCTGGTTTGACCGTCACCTTCACTATCGCTGTCCCCGTGTTGGCCTCCCCCTGGTCTGGTGTGTCCACTGCTGTGATGACCAGGGTGTACATGTAGCCTGATGCTTCTAGACTATCGTAGTCGACGAGGTTAACGTCCGTCTGGAGTTGCTGACCAGATATCTTGAACTTTGTCCGAGAATCGTCCCCATCTCCAACACCCATGACAAAGACAGCATTGTTGCCAGAGTCACCATCAGAGCAGACGAAGTCCAACAAGGAAGTGTCTGGAAACAGAGATACCAATATTAAACTTATACCCAGGACAACACATTGTGCAACATTCTAAAGGGCATGTTATTGCATTCCACTTCTACATTTTATTGACCACTCTACATATCAGGTTCCATAACCAATTTCTTTGAAGAGTACTGGAGACGACTTCAAAGGACTGGAGACGACTTCAGACTACACGCTCGGAGTCTCGACTTAATACCACTATACGCCCGGCGCCTTCAATCGGGAAGGAGTATAAACTCGTTATTAAATCGTAGTTCATACTCAATTGTAAAAGGGATACAATGCCTGACTTCACGTCTACCATTACTTTAGGTATAATACTGAAGCTCCGTTCGGAGACCGTTTACTAGTGAAGCTATCGCGATAAAAGATATCATGACTGACTGACTGACTGAGTTTGGTTTTACGCCGCTTTTAGCAATATTCCAGCAACATCACGGGGGGGGACACCAGAAATGGGCTTCACACATTGTACCCATGTGGGGATTCGAACCCGGGTCTTCGGCGTGACGAGCGAACGCTTTAACCATTAGGCTACCCCACCGCCCCCAAAAAGATAGCCTGACTTCTATGATGATGATTAAGCCTATATAGCTGTAAACACCACACATTACTGCATACTGAAATCGCTGTTCTTTCTATGAGTACATGCATAGAGACTTCCCGAAACAGTAATGATCCATTGAAAAGTCGATCCTGGTCAATATGCCTGAGTATATATCAGTATTTATCCCATAAACGTTACCCGTAGCAGTATTTTCTGTGATTTCAATGCTGTATTCTGCTGGGTCAAATACGGGGGCGTGGTCATTGATGTCGACAACTGTGACGGTAAAGTCCTTTGTGTCCTGGAGCCCGGCTTGGTCCGTGACCGTCAGTATGAGTCCGGTCAGTTCTGTGACGCCACCCACCCCGTCTCTGTCGACATGCTCCGCTACTGACAGGTCGCCGGTTGCGGAGTCGATATTCAGGTAGTGACTATCTGCACCTATAGTAGATAATACAACGACATACATGTCACCTGGCTTGGTGATGTGGGTTTATATTGTTTCTTTCGTTTGTTGCTTAACGCCGCACTCGGCAAAGTTCGAACTATATGACGGTTTGCAATACGGCGAGCATGACTCTATGCAGTTCGGATACGATGTGCCTTCCAATAGTTATAGGAAACAGTTCTGTCTGGGTGGCCATGGGTTAACGTAAAATAATGAAAGCCAGAAGTGACAAAGGCTTGAGAGTGGTAGGAGCAAGTTTGGGTTGAAAATGTTGGTTTGAAGTGAGTGAGTTTGGTTTTACGACGCTTTTAGCAATATTCCAGCAATATCACGGCGGGGGACACCAGAAATGAGCTTCATGTTGGTTTGAAAAGTAATTCAATTATTTGTCGGCTTGATGCGTGAGTGTAGGAATGGAGGGGGCTCCTGGCGGTGGTTGTGGTCGGCAGTGCTCGGTGGTTGGGTTAAAGACATGAAAATGGGTATTTTAATAATTGTAATCCAACACCTAATAATATAAAATGGCTAACCATCACATATTTCTACACATGTCAAACCTGAATAATATATTTATCATTTGAACACATTTTGCGACCATTTAGCAAAGTGATCAGGTTCTCCCAGACTACAGAGTTGCGTCCCTTTCCCGAACTCTCTGATCTCCAAACACTCAGTCACAATACACGTCCTTATTTCAATGGACGTACGTACGTACCTGTTAATGCAAATAATAGCACATCCTGTTGATCTGGATCGGTGACACGAAACCCTCCTTGTACTCCTGTAGCTATAGCTTGACCCTCGGACATGGTTCCTGAGGTGTCTATGGCGATGACAGGAGCTTCGTCTACCACGTCCAGCACCGTGAGGTGCAGTGACACTCGGGACTCCAACGTGCCATCAGTCGCCCTGAAACAGACATCGAAAGTAAAGCAGCTCGACGTAGTGAGTGACATGTGTTTTTAGCCGCTTTGATGAATATTCCAGCTGTATTATGGAGGGTCAGTGTGATGTGGAGGGAAACACCAGATAATGCCGGTAAACACAGATCAGGAGTCGCACCTACCATCCTAGGTTTCTGGCTTACCCGGGGGAAGGAACCTAAACAACAAGATGCCTTCGTCCAGGATATCAGTGTCGAAGATAACCCTTTGTTGTACATTGTGTTGTATAGTACAGTACTGTTATGTATAAACCTTTCAATTAATTAAAGTCAAAAATACCATTCACCATCCACCCACCCATCCAAACACGCAGGGACAGTGGGGTAGCCTAGTGGTTAAAGCGTTCGTTCGTCACGCTGAAGACCCGGGTTCGATTCCCCAAATGGGTACAAATCTCACAATGTGTTAAGCCCATTCCTGGTGTCCCAAGCCGTGATATTTGCGGGAATATTGCTAAAAGCGGAGTAAAACAATACTCACTCACTCAAACACGCACCCCCAGTCCCCCGCTAATATGACCATATTATCATTAAGCAGCTTTAAACACTTACCCAACATACACACCTAAAATGTTCCTGAGTATAAGCAACTTACATGATGTATAAAAGATGACTCTGGGCGGATTCGTAATCGACCAATGCAGCCTTGACCGTCACATCACTTCCATCAATCTTGAATATGTCATCCCTCCCAGACGTAATTGACAGTGTCACAGAATCGCCATCAAAATCGTCAGTGTTAATAGTTATCACGACACTGTCAACAGCACTGTCTTCACTGAGGTCTGTCTGGTACTCTGCCTGATCAAACACTGGAGCGTTGTCGTTGACGTTGTCGAGGGAGACAGTGATGGTTCCTTCCACAGAGCGTGGCGTGGCGCCGTTGTCCGATGACTTCACTACAATGGCGTAACTTGCCTCACCGTTTGTTCCTGCGTCAACGTCTAAGTCATCAGCCACAATGAGTTCTCCTGTGTGGGCATCTATGATGAATATGTCCGGTACAGATGCACCTGAAGCTGTAGGAAAAATACCGATAAAATATCAGATGTCTGGAATGTCCCATTTCTATACCTTCATTCACAGTGTCCTGCCACCGATTTACATCGGCTAAACCACTCGTTTATGAATTTTGGTAGCTGTTCCTATCACCTTCAACACTGACGTTTTTAAGTCATTGTCCATTTTTACAGCTACACTATAAGTTGTTCACTGGTCACGAGGGGGACATGGGTTGATCTACCCTCTATGTTTGTTTATGAACATCAATCCATGGTCCCGAGGCACCAGTGAACAACGTATTCATCTTACCGAACACCTCAATGATAATTATGAACTGTTTGAAGCACAGGTATTGGATCATGATAAGGAGTCCCAGAGTTAGACAACAGCCCAAACACTACTAACACGAAGTACCAAACGAATTCCCACAGTTCGGCATTTCCAGCGGGTAACATAGAAAATGTTACTTGCTTGTAAACGGGGAACATTAATTTGCTCAGCCAATCAGAAAACGACATTTATGTGTGACGTAAGATAAAACAGCATAACACCATCACCATCATGTCATCACATTGTTAATCACATTGTCACCATTGTCAGATCAATGTAGTTTCTTGGCATTCGTTCACACACATGTGACCCTTCAAAACTGATACTTGGTATAGATTTAGACGCTGAATAGCCCTGATAATAAACATCTTGGTATTATAATGTCAGGATCAGGAAGAAACACCACATTTTATTGAAAACGACATTTCCTATTATCTAACAGAAACATGGTTCCAATGTCTGCATTTGTCTTTTTGATGTGAAATTATTGTCAAAATACTTTTTGTACTTTGTTACAATTGTAATAATGTTTTGTTTGATATCGCGTGTTCATTGTAAGGTTTGAGGTTTTAAGCTGATTCCGAGGTGCCATGAATCCTAAATATCATGTTTTACAGAAGAACGGATAGCTGAGGCAACCAGAATCAACCCAGACAGTGATATAAGGGACCGTTCATAATTTATGGCTAGGTGTGTGTGTGTGTGTGTGTGTGTGTGTGTGTGTGTGTGTGAGAGAGAGTGTCATCAATTTTGTACACGTTCCTAGGTGGGGTCAGCAATTTTGTACGTAAAATATTTAGAAATTATGCTTTTAAAATATGGGAAGGGGTGGGGGTGGGGAGCATTGCTTTTGTACATGATATGCAGGGGAGATCACTTACTTTGTACATACAGTTTAAGGGGGTCATTCACATTGTACATGCTTCTCCATAAAAATCATCATCCACCCCAAACCCCCAGCCATGAAGTATGAACGGTCTATTGCTGCCCGGCGTGCACCACACTTCACTAAACACCTAATACTGCAGGAGAAAATAGTTTGACAAAGAACATATGCATTTGATTATATCTGTAATATAAGACAAAATAATGTAGTTTTGCAGAATAAATATATATGATAATGTACCTGCAGTGATGGAGACAACTGAGTACGTGACCACCCCGTCGTCACTGTGGTCGTCATCAGTGGCTGTGAAAGTCGTGATCACAAACCCTGGTTCTTCATCCTCACTAACACTCACTCCCGTAAATGTTCCACTTCCATCTGAAGCAGGTCCTGTCCACACAGGGTCGAACTCGTTCTCTGGTTTGACCGCCACCTTCACTATCGCTGTCCCCGTGTTGGCCTCCCCCCTGGTCTGGTGTGTCCACTGCTGTGATGACCAGGGTGTACATGTAATTTACTGCTTCTAAAGCCTCGTAGTCAAGGTTAGTAGAGTCCGTGAGGAGTTTAGAGTTTGAAACTTTAAACTTATTAGGGGTATCATCCCCACTCGCTAAGGTTAAGCCAAACTGGGCGTTGCTGCCGATATCGCTGTCAACACATATAAAATCCAGGACCTCGGTATCTGAAAGTGAAAAGGGTGATACTGTAGTTGAATCTAACCGGTTTTCAGTGTATATGTTGATGGGATATTCAATTCATTACAACGCCATGATAAAACATGGCCTTGAAGAACGTCTCATGTCCTACGAGTGAAATTAATAGAAGAATGTTTAATATCTCACGAGACAAACTGATAGAAGGACGTTTCATGTTTTAAGGATCAAGTTGATAGAAGAACGTTTCATATATCACGAGTCAAATTGATAGAAGAACGTTTCATGTCTCACGAGTCAAGTTGATGGAAGAACGTTTCATGTTTTAAGGGTCAAGTTGATAGAAGAACGTTTCATGTCTCACGAGTCAAATTAATCCTGCCATGGAATCACACCCTCCTTGGCAACAGTGAGCAGGTGAACATCTAGTTTCGTCGCCTTTAGCAATTAGAAAGCAATATCATGGCGAGGACAGTATCAAATTCGCGTTACACGTTGTGCCCATGTGAACGTAAATGAAGTCAGCCCTTCGGCGAGGGAAGCTAGCACTATCGTCTCTGACTATCACAGAAGTGACCCTTGGACTACACGCAATGCTGAGACAACATATGTTTGTATAGGAGACCTAACTGGTGTTCCAGATGATTCTCATATATACTCATTAAAGAAGGCTATCATTTCCACTATGGTATTACACTAAGGTATACATTTGCATTACCTCCAGCCATATTTTCCGTGACCTCGACTTCCAACACAGACGGGTCACAAACTGGATGTTGATCATTGATGTCCTCAACCGTGATCGTGAAGTCTTGTATTGCTTGTAGTCCAGCCAGGTCAGTTACGGTCAAGGTGAGAGACAGTTCCGTCTTAGCATTGGTTCCTTCTCTATCAACATTGGCAGCAACTGACAAGTCGCCAGATGATGAGTCGATGGTAAGGTAGGGACTATCAACACCTGTAGGAATGGACAGAAGAACTTCCACACATCAAGGGCGGGGAACACTTGTTTGTACAAACAAGCGCAGCAAATCATTTGGTCAGCAACGAACATTAAATCAAGATGTAAAGGATTATTGGGTTAGAGACAGGTCCTAATTTATGGCGGGGTTGATGATGATTTTAAGAGGGGATCACCCACTTTGTTCTAGGGTGGTGGTGGGTGGGTGTGTGTGTGTCAAGTTTGTGTGGGTGTGTGGGTGTGTGTCAATTGTACGTAAATTTAAGGGGTGGGGGTCTCATTCACATTGTACATGCTGCTCCATAAAGATCATCATCACCCCTTAGCCATAAAGTATTAACGGTCCCTCAACATGGTATGAAGTACAATGAAAGCAGATTACCTTTGGGTTATTAAAGGACAACGGAAGGAGTGAGTGAGTATGTATTTACGCCGCTTTTAGCAATAGTCCAGCAACAACACGGCGGGGGACACCAAAAATGGGCTTCAAACATTGTACCCATGTGGGGAATCGAACCCGGGTCTTCAGCGTAACGAGCCGACGCTTTAACCATTAGGCTACCCCACCGCCCCGACAACGGAAGGAAGTCAAGTAAGGAGAAACTAGTTCGCAAAATACGTCCATCCAGCTTATAAAAGTTAACATCCTCGATGTCTGTTGTGGAGATTGATCGGAACGTATACCCTGGAGATATCGAGGATGAAAAGTTAATTACCTACGGTTTTTAAAAGCGGAGGATGAAAAAAAGAAAACTAATTTTTATGAGTAGAGGAACATACGTTGATGTCAACATCTCAACAAACAGATTACCAAAGAGACAATAATGGACATATATTTTTCACCATGAGAAAAGAGAAAATAGTTTGGTGGATTGGTCTGGATGTATATTGCATGAGACCCACCACTTAAGACATAAGTAAGGACATCGTGTTCATCAGCATCTGTAACGACGTAACCTCCCTCTACAGGAGTCCCAACTGTCTGCTCCTCCGCCATGGAAGACGTGGTTGCTATGGTGATGACGGGCGTCTCGTCTGTTGCATCTGTTATGTCAATCTTGACAGTCACATCAGTTTCATGTACTCCATCAGATGCCCTGATTCATGACAAAAACGTACATATGTAATGGATCCAGATGGAAATAATAATTTTCTTAAAATGTCTGTTTATCATACGTAAATGTTGAATGAAATATTTTTGAGTGAGTGAGTATAGTTTTACGCCACTTTTAGAAATATTCCAGCAATATCAACAGAAACGGCCTTTACACATTGTACCCTTGAGGGGAATCAAACCCAGGTATTCAAAGTGCCGAGCTACCCTACCGCCCCAGGCAAGCTATTGAGATATCAGCATTATTGTATGCTTTATACTGAAACAACTAACCTTATTATAAGAATGTGAACTTTGTCTGTTTCAAAATCTAGGGTAGCTTTGACGACGATGTCGTTTCCGTCGCACTCGAACAGGTCATCCCTACCAGTAGAGATGGACAGGGTGACATCATCACCGTCAAAGTCGACGTTGTTGAGGGAAATCACAGCTGTCCCAACATCACTGTCCTCGGCGACGCTGGTGTTGTATTCACTTTGGTCAAAGACAGGGGCATTGTCGTTGACGTTGGTCAGTGTTATGGTGATTGTGCCAGCTATTTCTCTAGGGGTACCTCCACTGTCTGCTGCCTTTACTGAGACTGTATAGTTGGACTCACCATTGGTACCAGTGTCGTAGTCTAATGGTCCCGTAACAATTAACTCTCCGGTGTGGCTGTCTACTGAGAAGATGTTGTCAGCAGAAGCTCCAGAAGCTGTGAAAATTCAAACATTCAGCAAACGTCAAACAAACCACTCATAGCAAACACAAACGCGAATAGGATTTCTCCATTACCAAATCCTCTGATAACAGTTTGATTTAAATAAGTTTGTACTTAAAGATTTCAGTGTGTAGAAAAAATGAAAACAATTCCATAAGCAAAGAAAGCAAGGAAAGACCATTAGAAGCATGTCTTTCTGAATCAATATCAAACTGTCACTCGTCATAAACACATGCAAAGGCACATCAAGCGTTCAACGGAAAATGCTATATATATGTTTGTATCTGTATATGCGCCCTGACTTTTGTGTATAGTATTCCATTTGAAGGATCGATATTTTACATTGATTTCCGCCAACCAGGTGTACAGATAAGACATCTCAATCTATATTTCACCTACCACCTATTGCACCTGCGTTATCCGTAATTTATAAACATCGACCTTCCCATCACGAACAAACACAACAAACATCCATATACAATGGAAGTGTTAATTTCAGGAACATATTAACGGAAGACAGGACACGGTAGAAAGATGGATCCTCATGCAAATAAATAAATAAAATTTGATGTTTAGATATAGTAAAGTTGAGACCACAAACGTATTACGCGACCTGCTGCTAAATCATTAATAGCTATAAAGTACTTCTGCGGATAATCGAGAAGGATTTCTTCAGTTGACATTTACCTGAATTTGTTCCTGTGATGGTGTAAGTGATGAGGCCATCGTCTGCCTTGTCATTGTCAGTAGCGCTAAATGTTGTCAGAACAGAACCAACGGCTGTATCTTCAGATATGACAATGTCATGAAAACTACCACTTCCGCTTGAAGCCGGCGCTATCCAAACAGGGTCAAATTCATTTTCAGGTACAACAGTCACCTGCAATGACATAGGATTCATAGGCTTTAACTTGCATGTAAAACGTGGGCACCATCGGGACATGACATTGTCAGCGTCATTCCGTTCAGAATGTTTTATATGATCTATGCAGCCGTTCCCACACTGCATGTAAATGTATTTCTTCCAGGATCATCGAGTGATTTATGTTTGTGAAGCTTGGTTCTAATTCGTGATGTCAAAACTACACGAAGCCATAGATAAAAGCAAAGGTTTGTATTTTTTTCTTTGTTGTAATAATTAACATATGGTTGGGATGATAACCAATGCACCAAATATCTCCATTAAGTATTATTGGGATGCCACATCTGTAGATTGTATGATGACGTCCTGTAAGTAAGCATGGCCGTGTTCCACAAAGCAAAGCTAGCGCTCAGACAATCGTAAGTCCATGTTAAAGTATGGGAGTTATGATCACCTTCGCGCTACGATCGCTTTGAAGAACGGCCCTTGGTATACCTTGTGGGAAGCCCACTTCTCATTCACTGTAGGTAATCATACCTTGGTAAAGCGTTACGTGTTTTACGCTGTAATGGGTAAGCTCATTATTACGCGTGACCCCAATTTATGATCTCTGGGGCTTATACTGCTGTGTTTGTTTGTTTGTTTGTTGGTTGTTTAACGCTGCAGTCAGCAATATTCCAGCTATATGACTGCGGTCCGTACTCGAGTCAGGACTAGACAATCCAGTCATCAACAGAATGAGCATCGATCGATCATGGGATACGATTATATTTGTCAACCATGCCACCCGATCTCGTTAGTCGCCACTTTCGACAAGTATCAAGCATGGGTGGGTGAAGATCAATTCTAACCCGGATCTTCACAGGTTATCCTGCTCTGAACTCCCTACAAGGACAACCTATATATACATATTAGCTAAGACCTTGACGACTGCTGTTCCTGTCATGGGATTGCCATCATCGGGTGTGTCTACTGCAGTAATGATGAGGGTGTACATATAGTTTGAGGCTTCCAGACTCTCAAAGTCAACAGCATTAGAATCTGATAGTAGTTTCAGATCAGCCATCTTGAACTTCCGAACTGTATCGTCCCCGCTGGCTATTGACGTTGTGAATACAGCATTGTTGCCAGCGTCTTCGTCAGTGCAGGTGAGCTGCAGCAGGTCAGAGTCTGAAGTGTATTATGATATTTGAGAGAAAATATGAGACAATTAGTGTTGTGTGAACCTACGACTGAACCTATGAACACGCTAATAGTGCAGATAAACCAGTCCCTGTCGGATTTAATCTGGGATCCGAAAGAAATCGATTCTTTGGATGCATGAAAAGCAAACAGCAGGTCAGTTTGAAGCGTATTTAACTGACTAATGTGGTATATGATAGGGTGAGGTTAGGTGAAATTGGGTTTAACGTCGTGCTTGAGAATATTTCGCTCATATGACGACGTGCATGCATGTGTATGTGTATGTGCGGCTGCTTGTACTAGCCAAGACTTAAGCTGGTTTTATAGTGCTAGCCCACTGAGATACCATGCCGCAGTGAAGCATGAATACACTGACATTATACTGACTCCGAGCCGACCAGTCCTTGTTGTACCCATTAATGTCAAGCGCCAGGCAGGGACCAACAAGTACCATATTTTAACGTCTTTTTGGTATGACGCGGTCGGGGATCGAACCCGCGACCTTCCGCTCTCCGGGAGGACGCTCTAACCACTACACCACGGAGGCGGTCGTATATGATAGGGTGGGTGAGGGAATTGGACAGTACCGTCACCGCCTGTCAACATGAAGTACAGCTTGAGAGGACTTCCAGAAGTTGGGCAGGTTTTGAAAGATAACCTCTTTTTGATGATCCCAAATAGCACACAAAGGAGCAAATAGTACAAACTTCAGACCCAAAACACTCTAGGCACATGCTGCTATATCTGTTACACAAGGGTTGCCGTACTGATATAATCCGATTTTAATATTTGCCAGATACTTCCTAGGACAACCTAGGGTCCTCTTGAGTTGCTTCCAGGGACATAATGATGAGGTGGGTATGGGGATAACACTCACCAACAGCAGTGTTTTCAGTGACCTGGATCTCGTACACAGATGGGTTGAATGTTGGCGGGAGGTCGTTGATGTCTTCAACTGTGATAATGAAGTCCTGGGTGGCCTGGAGTCCGGCCTGGTCAGTGACGGTCAGTGTGAGGGACAGGGCTGATTTAGCATTGGCCCCTTCTCTGTTGATGTTCTGGGCAACTGTCAGCTCACCTGTGGCTGAATCAATGCTGAGGTAGGCGCTGTCAGCTCCTGTGAAGGACATACTTATCACTAACCCACTTCAATTACACAAATATTTCATCAGTTGGTTTTACTATCAGTTGAGAAACCTCGAATCTTTCTCAGGATGATTTGAAAGAACGTGGCATCGATACTTGCAGATAGTTTATTTAATTCAAAACATATATTTTTGAATAAAATCGGGATTATCCATTGTAATATTGTTTCTCTTTATATGTAGGTAAAATAATTCAATAAAGTCGATATTAGATCCACGTATGTCCTCATACTATTTGGAAGTGGAGGTTGTTGTATATTGATATGAGTTATATTGCAACAATACGTGACGAGAAGCAAGACGAATTAGATTAACACACAACAAATGCGGGTTTCGAACATGGCTTGATGAGCAGACACGTGAACCCATCGTCTCCTGTCACAAGTGCATGACAAGATATGTCTTGCATTCAGAATGATCGCCTATTTAGTTGCACTAACCACTGAGAGTGTAGGAGTGGACATCCTGTTTATCAGCATCCGTGATGATGTACCCTCCATCTACTCCAGTACCGATTGTTTGTTCCTCTGCTACGGAACTTGTGGTTGCCATGGTGATAACAGGTGCTTCGTCGATGACGTCAGTGATGTCTACTTGAAGTGAGACCTCGACATCAAACTTTCCATCACTAGCCCTAAAAACATAAACACACTTTCTAAAATATTTCGTACAGCATATGTTTTGTTTATGTTTACATTTTAAGACTTTGCCTGTATATTTTCAACTGTAACATATAAATAATGTTCAAACTGTTAAACTTACTTAATTACAAGTACATAGAAGGTATCTGTTTCGAAATCCAGAGCAGCCTTGACCTTGACGTCATGACCGTCACAAATGAATAGATCATCGCGTCCACTTGCGATTGTCAACGTCACAGCGTCACCGTCGTGGTCCTGAATGTTGAATGTGATGACAACTGTATCCACAGCACTGTCTTCACTGAGATCTGTCTGGTACTCTGCCTGATCAAACACTGGAGCGTTGTCGTTGACGTTGTCGAGGGAGACAGTGATGGTTCCTTCCACAGAGCGCGGCGTGGCGCCGTTGTCCGATGCCTTCACTACAATGGTGTAACTCGCCTCCCCGTTGGTTCCTACGTCAACGTCTAAAGGGCCTGCCACCAGTAAATCTCCTGTGTGGCCAATGACTGAAAACTTATCAGTAACTGTTCCACCTGAAGCTGAATCAGAAATTTGTAGAGTTGCACATTTCAGAAGTAATTGTAAAAAAGCCGCATTATGTTTCTGGTACTTCTCTACCCTTAAAGTTCGGAGGTGTAATTTGTGACTCTCTTAAATTTTGACATGTAACTTAACATTCATCTTTAGGTGCATGGATGAGCATTCTATGGACGTTCAATAGAATACCAGTAATTTAACAAATAAGAAAGTGAAGCATGGGCTGGGCTCTAAACGCAGGACGATATACAAGGCGACAGACGTTGTCGGGTAGTGAGGTTAGATGGTTTGGGTGATGCCTGTAATGGTATCTGAATGATGTAGATCGCTTCCAAGGATGTCAGTCACAAGGGTATCTGGTACAGACCGCCGTAATACATATTGAACATTACCGAATGCTCCGTAAACAGAACCAAACTTATCGCACCTGCCTGAGATGAAAGAAGAAAAATGACTATATGCACAAAACTAACAAATCCTACCGGGTACCCATGTATTGCGGTAATGCTGATTCTGCGTTACCATTTTCATGAGTTGTGTTTCAGGATAAAAATGATATTTACTCAAATGATCAGTTCGTTTCTAACAGATCAAAAGATCTCATTACCTGCAGTGACTGAGACGATGCTGTAGGTGACGACACCATCATTCCCATGGTCATCATCAGTGGCAGAGAACGTCGCCACAACACTACCAGCAGCAACGTCTTCTTCCACGCTTATCCCGCTAAATGTTCCACTTCCATCTGAAGCAGGTGCTGTCCACACAGGGTCGAACTCGTTCTCTGGTTTGACCGTCACCTTCACTATCGCTGTCCCCGTGTTGGCCTCTCCCTGGCCTGGTGTGTCCACTGCTGTGATGACCAGGGTGTACGACTCCACGGACTCATAGTCCAACAGGTTATCCGTCTGAAGCTGCTGACCACTCATCTTGAACTTTGTAGATGTGTCATCACCATGTTGAACAAGGACATTAAATAATGCATTGTTTCCATCGTCACCGTCCGCGCATGTCAGGTCCAACAACGACGTGTCTGAAAACCAATTTAAAAATTGTCCAAAAAGTAAGTGAGGCAGGCCTCGAAAAGTGTTTCAACTATAGCACGACGGAATTGTCTCACAAACCAGCGTACGTTAAATCGCATGTAATGAACGGATTTATGCAAACTATTTGCGAAGGTGAAGACTTTAGCTTTGCAAGTGTTTACGTTTCTGTTGTTGATTGTACTAGTCCTAGTAAGATATTACACAAATATATGTAGAAAAATATTGCACAGGAATTGTTTTGAGTGAGTGAGTGAGTTTAGTTTTACGCCGCTTTTAGCAATATTCCATCGATATCACGGCGGGGGACACCACAAATGGGCTTCACACATTGTACACATGTTAGGAACCGAACCCGGGTTTTCTGCGTCACGAGCGAACGCTTTAACCAGTAGGCTACCCCAACGCCCCTAATTTTTGTGAAGAAACATACCGGGAGCGGCATTTTCTATGACTTCAACAGCATACTCTGTCGGGCTGAACACGGGAGGGAGATCGTTTATGTCCACAAGTGGGATGGTGAAATTCTTGGTGGCAGTAAGTCCAGTCTGGTCAGTGACAGTTAAGGTTAGAGACACTTCACTTTTCCCTGTATCTCGGTCAATATTCTGTGCCACAGTTAACTCTCCCGTCGTTGAATCAATGGTGAAATAGCCACTATCGGAACCTGCGGATGAAGCAAACTTATTGACAATCAGAACCGTGAGTGGCGGAGATTATCTATGATGTTTTACACTACAGGTTCCTAGTCCGTGTATGATGACTATTGCAGATGTAACTCTTTGGGGATTCCGGAATGGAGTACGTCCCAAACAGCTCCTGCTGGTCGTTAGTGGTGACTAAATGGCTCGGATGGTCAGTCTTGGTTGATAGTAAGTTGGTTTGCATCGATAGGTTTTCACAGTATAAATCACTGGATAGTGTGGTCCAGACAATATACTTAGTACTTACATCTCACGTCCATAATCACACGCTGGAGGCACCAATTCCCATGTGGTACAAAAAGATGTACATATCAGGATGATGAAGGAATTGACAGTTCAAATACCGAAATGAATTGATGAAAAATTCACTTTTCAATTGCATAAAATGCCTTACAGTTGACATCGGGCTGCACATATGGACTACAGATACAAGTTGAAAACCCTAATAGTGCCACAATATTTTGCCATCTTAGATACTCGATGGAGCTTCAGATATCTGTAGCTGTTTGCCAAGGGTACACTTTGCTCGCTTGTTGATGTAGAGAGAAAGACGTGTAGCTTATACAGATGCACCCAAATAAACGTTAAGTGCAAGACCATACCAGACAGAGAATACGTCACGACGTCTCTAGCATCGGCATCTGTGACAACATATCCTCCATCCACTGCTGACCCTGCCGTTTGTTCCTCTGCCATTGAGCTTGTTGTAACGGTGATGACAGGTGCTTCGTCAGAGACGTCGGAAACATTGATCTCTAGTGATACATCAGTGTCGTATTTACCATCGTTAGCCCTGTAACAATGCATTTGAATGAGCTGATTAATCCACGGTTACCACTGATGAAAGACACCGAACAAATTCTGTGATAACTGAAGGTTTCTATATACAGCTAATTTGATATAAAGAACATCATCAATGGTAGAAGGATATAGGTATTTAGTATTACCTTATTACAAGAACGTGGGTTGTGTCCGTTTCAAAATCCAGCGCACCCTTGACCTTGACGTCATATCGATCACACGAGAACAGGTCATCTCGTCCACTGACTACAGACAATGTCACAGCATCACCGTCATTGTCCTCGACGTTGAAGGTGATGACAACTGTATCCACAGCACTGTCTTCGCTGAGGCTTTTTTGGAAGGTGTGCTGGTCAAATGTAGGTGCATTGTCATTGGTGTTCAGCAACGTCACGGTGATGCTCCCATCCACTGTGCGTGGAGTCACCCCCTTGTCTGAAGCCCTAACACTGATAGTGTAACTAGCCTCTCCATTAGTAGCAGTGTCTACGTCAAGCTCTCCAGCCACCATCAGCTCTCCTGATACAGCATCTATTGTGAACTTGTCGGATCCATCTCCGCCTGATGCTGGTAATAGAATGGAAGTGAAATAAAAGAGTATGATTATATTGTTTTGCCATATTGAGCTGTATTCTTACTAACTGGTTTGGTAGGCTACACTTACCTTTCCACGAACAACTATTATAATTACTATTGATAAGGGCCGCTCATCGGATTCAGGGAAACGTACAAACGACTCTGCTTTTGAAAAATTTCTTAGGCTGCAAAAAACGTTTCGTCACTCGTATTTAAGTAAGTGAGTATAGTGTTACGCCGCATTTAGCAATATAAGTACGGGGAACACTAGAAATGTGGTTCATTTATAGTTCCAAGTTTGAAATATACCACTTAGCTACACACGTGACATGGAGAAATCTGTATCATGGTCGAACCCAGAGTGCAACATAAAAGAATACAATATAAAGAAAAATCACACATATAAAATACCTTATCAAACAGCGTTTGGAGCTGAAGGGACAAACGTAAATACTTCGAGTTATACGATTTTCAACAGAGCCGCACAATGACTAGATGAGGAATCTAAAGGAACAAGTTTTACTTTACACAACCGTAGATTACGCGAGCACAGTCAAACAGCACCCTTGTGTTAAAGTTGAAGGAACATACGTAAATACTTCGAATTATACGAGGCTGGACAGAATCGCAAAATGATTAAATGAAAAATTCACAGGACCAAGTTTTACTTATAGGCAACCGTACATTCGACACAAACGGTGTTTGAGTGTGTATGATAAAGAATCGGTCACAGCAGCACTTGCTACATGACGTTTAATGTTACTAACCGCTCACTACTGACACAATGCTGTAGGTGACATCTCCATCGTCACCTAAGTCACTGTCAGTGGCCTGGTAAGCTGATATGACTGCACCTGGAGCTGAGTCTTCATCTACATCTACAGCACCAATGCCATTACTTGGGGATGTCCAGACAGGGTCAAACTCATTTTCAGGTGTCACTGTAACCCATACAATTGCTGTTCCTGTGTTGGTGCCCCTCTTGTCAGGCTTGTCCACTGCTGTGATGACCAGGGTGTACATGTAGCCTGATGCTTCTAGAGCTTCATAGTCAGCAGGGTTAGAGTCTGTAAGAAGCTGAAGTCCGGACATCTTGAAGATACCTGCCCCACCGTCTCCACTGGCAACCGTGACGGCATACAGAGCGTTGTTTCCAGTATCCCCATCGGAACAAGTCAGATCCAACAACGAGAGATCTAATACATTTGAAATAACTCTGGTAAGTTCGATCATAGGGTTTTTAATTACATGCTAGTTCGGTCTTGTTTAAATCGCTGTTACATAGATAATAGTGTACAGAATATATTAACAAATTCAATAATAAAGATATCTTTTCAGAGAACCACGAGCCAGGTTTCTAGCATGCCAAAGGGATACAACCTTTGCAAAGCGAATCGCAGCGCCTTATACCACGGGACCAGGCTCACATCCTAGTTTCTACTGTCAAGCTAAATGCATATAACATTATACACATTTATAACACGTGGTTCGCGTGTCTCAGTATTTGCAATGAAGAACACCATTGCCCACCTGCAGCACTGTTTTCAGGTATCTCTACGCTGAACTCTGATGTGTGTCGAAGACTGGTGTCAAATCATTGATGTCCCTCTACAGTGATGGAGAAAGCCTGAGTGTCCTGTAGTCCTCCCTGGTCAGTTACGGTCAAGGTGAGGTCCAACTGAGTCTTGCTGCTGCTTCCATCTCTGTCGATACGTTGTGCTACGGACAGCTCCCCAGTGCTGGGGTCAATGTTTACGTAGCTGCTGTCAGCACCTTGCGAGAAGAAGAATAAGGTGACTATTTGTCCGTAAATATACACAATAAGTATCCATTGCTATTAATAACGTGCGTTCCATGATAAAATGCAAATGTGTATTACTTGTACCGTGTGTTCGTCTGTATGGCATGTGTTACAGTATAGTATTGCAACAACAGTCATGATATATCTGTGTTTAATTGATTTGCCTTTGCATGTATGCGTGACGAGTTATGCCGGTGGCAGCGTATGCTCACCTTCAGACGAATAACTGATATCATCAGTATCTGATGGTGATCCATAAAACACACCTGTTGAAATATTTTGAATTGGACAATGGACTCTTTCGCAAAATATATATTATTAGGATGTTTGGAAATATCTTTAATGCGTTTTATCTATCAGTGAAATCCTAAACTACGAACTAATTTTTAACTCAGTATGTGTTTAAGAGGCTTTTAACGTCTGGTTCATGCGAATTCCGCATCTGTGGTCAGATATATAGTCAAACTGATTGTCTTGAACTAAGAATAAAAGAAAAAACCCATGTATATATGCCATGATTATCACACTTCCTGTGAAAATCACAAA